TTCGACAATATTTATCATAAAATTTTCTTTGTGATTGTCGAGGTTCACTAGTTGTTTGTCGCAACGATGCAGATGCTCGGGGTCTAGAATTTGATTGATGTTGTGAAAAATATCTTCCAGCATGTTTTAATGAATTTCTTGAGTGAAAAGATTCATTTTGATGTGATCTATGATTTGTAAATGTTTCAAATTCATTCATATTACAATGTTGAAATATATAGATATCAAAACCATCTTGATCTGAATCAATAATAATGGAATGATTGATATTAGTGACTAATAATTGTTTTTTGTCTTTTTTCTCGAAATTTTCTATTATCCATTCAATATATTCGCCACCATTACGTTGTTCATTTAAAGAGAGAAACCATGAATGATCTTCACTGTTTCTTAAATCTTGTTGATTTGTCCATGAATGTTTTGGTGAATAATAAAACATATTCAGATCAGTTAATGCACCATAACGAAGTGAAGTAATAAAATCTTTTGTAAATTTATGTCGAATGGGTTGTTTTGTTGTACAATTCTTATTAATATATTGTTTTTTTTCTTTATTAAATGTAATCCAGAAAGGAATTGATATTGGTGAACATAACCATTGAATGTTAATAAATTGAGGCTCAATAAAGTGTAAATGTATTGATGTTAATCCAAAATGCCATGAACAAGATTTTTCTTCTTCATCTGTCCATTTTATGCCTTGTGTTAAAAAATGCTGTTTTAAATTCTTATAAACTTTATCAAAATTTTGTTGATTATTAATAATAATTATAATTTTTTCTTGTTTTGTTGGATATTCCCATGGTTTTGTTTGTTTATTATCATTATGAGTTGTTGTAATAGGTGGTGATGTATCTGAATCAGACTCATAATTGTCATTATCATCAATGAGAAGATTTTCATCAGCTAAATCATTATTTTGATTATTAGCAAACGGTGCGTCTTGTTTTGCTTGGGGAAATCGTTCATAAGTTTTTTCCCACATTGATGCATTCTTTGAATAGAATAATTTATAGATAGATAAATGTAATGAGAAAAGATTGTATTATAAAAATATCTTACAGATTCTATGGAATCACTTCTCAATCGCATTGATGCCATTAGTCTATTGATTGACAGTCTAAAATTAAAGTGAAAATAAAGTTTCATATATATATAACTTTTTCTTATCATCTGACAAGGGAACATAATGAAGAGTTTGTTTTGCGTGAACTGACACCTATCAGATCCTATCAGTACGGAAGCTCTTGAATTATAGAAGGAATAAAAAAAGCACAGCAAACAAGTCATATAATAATAAACGATACTCGAATTCCACTCGACTACGAAATGCGATGCGAGACTCAATATCAAAATGGCAATTTCAAAGTTCTGACAAGTTTCTCACCATTTACAATTATAGTAGAATGAAATTAAATTTATATACTATCGAAATACAGGTGACATTAATTTAATGTATACGTCGAGAATGGAAGGAAGAAAGAAAGAAAAAAAGGAAGAAAACACGCGTAGGACTTTATAAATGCTTTGCTTTGTATCGTATTAAAAACCACCACAATATAAAGATAAGAATATCACTTAATTTTTATTTTTTTTTATAATAAAGAATAAAGTAACGAAAATTTTTATCTTTGTAAAATAAAGATAAAATAAAGAATATAAAATTTTTTTTCTATTAAAACGTATTTTGTTATTTTCTCGGAATAGCTAACAAAAAATTATGATATTATATAGTTAACCATAATATGTAATAACATTTTCCGTATATATCGTTTCTTATCTAATCCTTTTTTTGATGATAAGAAAGAATACTAGTTAACAAATTCTGTGGCTATGCAAGGTATTTGCATATGTATTTATTGCATGAAAAAATGTAACTTTATTCTTTATAAAATAGAGATAAAATAACATGTCTAATGAAGATACCTAGATACATAATCGATATATTAAACTAAAAACACAATGGAGTATTCCTCGTGAATAACAGTTTTTTTCATTTCTCTGAGTTATTTAAATAAGTGTAATGAACTTTCATGACAATTTATTTATGACTCATTTGCTTTTTGATATTAACAGACATGTCTATAGAATCGTCTAGACTAAAGATCTTTTTTTCGTAGAAAAGAACGGTAAAAAAATCTTATCAATATTTTGTTGCAGCAACCAATGAAAATTTTTTTCATTTACAGCTTAAAATTCCTGCTGGGAATTTCTGCTGAACTGCTTAGAAAAATGTTCAAGATAGTTTTATTTTCGATCAGCATAATCTAGATTCACTGGAAACATTTAGGAAAATATACTTGTTATGAAATTTTCTCACAAACAACTCAATGTGTATCAATTAGGGGTGTTACTTTATCTTTATTTTAAAAATAACGATAAAATAAAGAATAAAGGTTTTTTTTATATTCTTAGAGTAGCTCACAAAAAAGTATGATATTATAATATAGTTAACTATAATATGGAATAGCATTTTTCGTACATATCGTTTCTTGTGTGATCCTTTTTTTTTGGATAATATGGTATATGGAAATGATGATGATGATGATAAGAAAGAGCATTAATAAGCATATTTTGTTGTTATACAGGATATTCGCACATGTACTTCTTGCATGAAAAAATATATCTTTATTCTTTATTTTAACTTTATTTTTGCAAATAAAGATTATTTTTATTATCAACAGTAACTCATATTGCAAAATATAAATTGAATGATTGGATGGAATTCTCGAATTTCGCCAGTAATATTTTCGCCAACTAGCACTTTCGTGAATAGCGAAAGTCCACTGTTCTTTCGCCAATGCACCATATGGAATTTGAGTTGTGAATGTGAGTGTGAGTGTGGACGAAGAAGCCAACAACGTCAAACCCTCACTCACACCCACCTACCCTTTTTTTGACTGACGATGCGAACGGAAGTGCCACGAAACGTCTCAGTAAATATCGTTACGGTGTCTATGATTATATAGATCACGATCTTTATTTTATCAACAAAAATTATTATAACTGTAGCATTTTCCTTAAATGCAAATATGAGATAGCATTAAATATCAAGATTAGACTTATAGTAGACAATAGATATTTATACTATTATAAGATTATTTCATATAAAAAGAAAAAATAACCTACGAGCATATATTTACTATTGAAGGTGAAATTCATTCACGTTTGTTGTTTTCTTTTCATTCAAGAGTTGAATGTATCATGTATTTCAATATCCGATTATATAATTCTCATTTTATTGTTTACAGATATTTTTGTTGGAAATATTACTGAACTTTTAGTATAATTCTATGAATCAATTTATTGGTTATTTATTTCTTTTATCAAGTCAGCTTCTTTTTAATTTATATTGGCTTAAAATGTATTGTTTTTTTTAGTAATCAAAACGAAAAATGTTGGATCTTTACATGCAAAAAATCAATCAAGATTTTTAAATGATAATGATGAAGACTTGTCGGATGAATCATCAGATATAATTGGAGATGTATGTGTGATTATAGCAGGCTTTATTATTTTATTTTTATGTCTTTATTGGCAATGCTTACCAACTCGTAATCTTAATCGTCAATCACATAGGAGATTATCATAACAATACTAACAGTATTCTTAAAGAGATTTTACTAAAAGTAAGAATGTTTATATCATATGCTTTGATTGTGCATATGTAGAGAAGAAAGTTTATTATTTTGTTTTTAACTATGATTATTCTATAGTTGTGATAGTTCTTTTCTTATTTATATGCGTATTTGTTAGTTTTGTCATTTAATGATATGTTGTTTTTTAAAAACATTTTGTCCTTTTTATGTTACTTGAATTGTCTCTTTTTCTTCTATCAATAAAAGAAAATTTCTATATGTGCATAAATCTGTTTTTTCTATATGCATATAACTATTGCTTTTACCCATATGTAAATCATCGGTCTTTAAAAAAAATGAGCATGATTATGACTTCTATAATACTTATGTATCATGATGAGAGAGAAAATGGTATTTCAGTTGCGATGAGGACCAGGAATATTGGGTGGATGAATGTGATGGTGAGTGAGGTGTTGAATAACTGAAGATTGTTATGTCATTATCATTGACGAAGCAACTCATTTTGTGAATACCCGCAAGTTTTAGAGAAAAGAGCCATGTGTTTTTGCCAAAATTCAGTTTGAAACAAAAATAAACATAGACCCTATATTTGACTAAAGAAAATAAATGTTTTGTGTTTGAACAACATTATCTTGTCAATTTTATGAGTTATAATGTTTGTGACAATACAACTATTTTCAACTTTGGAGTCTTCAATAATATCAAATATGAGAACAGAACGAAAAAAAACCTCTTTCGAGATTCTTTTTTCTTCGTCAAAATACGTAGTAAAATTTCTTTTCAAGAGATTATGTTAGTAACTGATAACCATAAAGATATTTAACTATGCTTTTTTCGTTCTTTTTTTATCACTAAAGAATATTTATGTTAAACTTTCTTTGTTTTTCACAACAATATTTATCATTGCTAACCAAAAAAAAGTTGTTGTCCAACTAAAAAAGATAAAACAAAAACTTAGATACGAAGTAGAGACACTATAAAATTGAGCCACATTAAAAAATCAACGTCGAATAATAAACCCTTAGGACAAACGTTTTTTTATTCTACCCCTTTTTCTAAAGAATACTATAATAAACGGTTGTCTGAAAGGCTTACAAATTTAATCAAACTTTTAAAGGTATATTACCACTCATATACCCTACAGAATATATAAAAATGCAATGCATAAAATATCCTTTCCAATGTTTATTAACTAAAGAGGTATATAAAAGCGTTTGTAAAAATAATAAATGCAAAAAGAGAATATAAAATGATTTATGAGGCTAATAAATCTTTTTCAAGAGTCTATTATTCGACGTCAATTTTTTACAGTATACTGCAATGATTCTTTCATTCGCAAATATTTTTAAGCTACTGAAATACAACACATTCATATTACAAATAGTAAAATAATCAGAGCCAATGGCAACTAGCAAATCAAATGGTACAAAAAAATTTGAGACAACATCGAATCTCTCCACGAATGCAACTGGAAATCGATGTATCAATATGCAAAGAATGCAAAATGTCCTTTTAATTTGGTTGGACAATAATATTACTGATGATAATACTGATTGTAGTAATACAATCAAGCAATTGAAACGTGTTGTTAATAATATGTACACGTTTACAGATGGCGAACAATGTCTTGAATTCATCCAAACTATTACCAATAATAAGATATGTATGATTGTTTCAGGTTCACTTGGGAAACATATTGTGCCTCATGTGCATGGTATGTCCCAAGTAGATACCATTTTTATTTTTTGTGATAATGGAAAATGGCATGAACAATGGACTAACGAATGGCCTAAGATTAAAGGAGTCTATACAGATATAACATCAGTCTGTAAAGCTCTTAAGCAAGCTGCTGACCAATGTGAGCAAAATGCCATATCAATCAGTTTTGTGGCACCAAACAAGAAATTGGACCAATTAGATCCATCGTTTATATATACTCAGATCTTAAAAGAGATCTTATCAACCATCAATTTCGAAGATAAGCACTTTGAAAAATTTATTACTTATTGTCGGGAGGTATTTGCTAATGATGAAAAAGAATTAAAAAATGTTAATCAATTACAATTAACATATAAAAACCACATACCTATATGGTGGTACACATGGGATGCATTTTTATATCGTATGCTCAATCAAGCATTTAAATCAATGGATATTGATATTATTATTCGAATGAGTTTCTTTATTAATGATCTACATCGTGATATTCAACGAATACATTCACAACAATCTGATGGTCATCAATCAGATAAAACATTTACAGTTTATCGTGGACAAGGTCTTTCGAAAGCAGATTTCATCGAAATAAGAAAAACTAAAGGTGGACTTCTTTCATTCAATAACTTTTTATTGACTAATAAAAATCCAAGTACTGCTCTTGAATTTATACAACAAGCTACTACAAATCCTGATCTTGTTGGAGTTTTATTTGTTATGTCAATTAATTCTAGTGATGTTAGTTATGTTCATAAGGAAGATGAAGTTCTCTTTTCTATGCATACCATTCTTCGTATTGAAGATATTAGACCAATGGATGAAAATGATCATCTTTATCAAGTAAGTTTAACATTGACCGATGATAAGGACCAAGATCGTCGTACTCTTACTGATCGTATCCGACAAGAGACTTTTCCAGATGTAGAAGGATGGGGTAGATTAGGCCAATTGTTAATTAAAATAGGTCAGCTTAACAAGGCTCAAGAAGTTTATGAAGTTCTACTTCATCAAGCAACAAATGAGAATGACAAGGCATCTATTTATCATAAACTAGGTGAAATAAAATATGATCAAGAAGAATATCAAGAAGCACTTACATATTATAAACAATCACTTGCTATTCAACAAAAAACACTTCCTTTCAATCATCTTAATTTGGCTTCTTCCTACAGCAACATCGGTAGTGTGTATTATAGCACGGGCGATTATCCAAATGCATTTTCATCTTATGAAAAAGCACTTGCAATCAAACAAGAATCACTTCCATCCAATCATTCTGATTTAGGTGATTCCTATGATAGCATCGGCAGTGTATTTTACAAAATGGGTGATTATCCAAAGGCACTTTCATCTTATGAAAAAGCCATTACAAATCGACAAGAATCACTTTCTTCCAATCATCTTGATTTAGCTTCTTCCTATAACAATATCGGTTTGGTGTACTATAGCGTGGGTGATTATCTAAAAGCACTTTCATTTCATGAAAAAGCTCTTGTAATCAAACAAAAATCACTGCCATCCGATCATCCTGATTTTGGTGGTTCTTATAATAACATCGGTCTGGTGTATGACAGTATGGGTGATTATTCAAAAGCGCTTTTTTATTATAAGAAGAATCTTGAAATACTGCAGCAAATACTTCCTTCCAATCATCCTGATTTAGGTAGTTTCTATAATAACATCGGTATTGTGTATAGAAAGATGGGTGATTATCCAAAAGCACTTTCATCTTATGAAAAAGCCCTTGCAATCAAACAACAATCATTTCCTTCCGGTCATCCTGATTTGGCTTCTTCCTATAATAATATCGGTTTGGTGTACTACAGTATGGGTGATTATCCAAAAGCGCTTTTTTATTATGAGAAAGATCTTGCAATTCGACAACAATCACTTTCGTCCAATCATCCTGATTTAGGTGCTTCTTATAATAATATCGGTCTGGTATATGATAGTATGAATGATTATGCAAAAGCCCTTTCTTATTATGAGAAAGATCTTGAAATACTGCAGCAATCACTTCCTTCTAATCATCCTGATTTGGGTGGTTCCTACAACAACATCGGTAATGTATATTACAAAATGGGTGATTATCAAAGAGCACTTTCATCTCATGAGAAAGCCCTTACAATCAAACAGCAATCACTTCCTCCTAATCATCCTGATTTAGGCGCTTCTTATAACAACATCGGTAGTGCGTATGAGACTATGGGCAATTATTCGAAAGCTCATTCATTTTATGAACGTGCTATACAAAATGGACAACAATCATTACCAGCAAATCATCCAACTCTTCAACAACGGAGAAGAAACCTCGAAAACATAAAAAAGAAATTTTAATTTGTTATTGTAATTTTTTTTGAAAGTAAAATAAAACTTATAAAAACGAAAATATATATATTGAAAAGATATATTGTAGAAAAGATCTTCCGGGTTATATTGTTGTACCTGAACAAGTAGAGCTTCGTTGTGTTAGGGAAGAAAGAAAGTTACTCAACAGAAAAATACAAGTATAAAAAAGAAGAAAATTCAAACAAAAACTAGATTTTGGAAATTCGCTTGTACTATGAATAAAATTGATAGAGAAGAATCTTTTAGGTGAAGAAAGAATATGTTTAGTACATAAATTTCAACGAAAATAAATCAAATTTACTGTAAAAATGTGCAATGAAAAATGAAAAATTTATCTTAGAAATTTATATTTTTTACGTATGGTCCTAAATTCATTCGAAATCATAAGAATCAGTCCTATGATACTACTCAATCTATTTAGTAACACTATGAATCTTTCTACGAGTGAAGAAGTCATTTTTATTAATACAAAAAATAATAATATTTTATCTTATGTCGTGTTTTCTCTGTATTCCTGTGTCTTTCTAAATTTAAATTTACCCCCATTTCTTTTCCACACTAATTAGTCTACATTTTATTAATCCTTAGTAATTTGTGCATTCCATTTTTTTTTGTTACTTTAATATAAATTATACGTATGAGTGTCTTTTTATTCACATGATAATTTAAAAACGATTATATAAAACAGATGGTATGAGCAACGATGTTTGTAATCTGTTTTTTAAGAAAAACACCCATTTTTATTTCTGGTTTTTTCTTACCCGACATGTCACAAAAAAAAGAACGACTTTTTCATTTACAATTATAAGACTAATCTGTACCTTTATTTTGATATATATAATTAAGTTCAAAATATTGTTAACACTTTATTCGTTACTTCAACTATCAAAGATTAATTGAGAACAAGACTATCACATGTTTCAGTTAGTGACTTTATGAATATAAAAGAATATTATTTCACTCAATAAGCAATTATCTATTGATGTCATTTTCCGAATGAACATACCTGATATTTAATTCATTTAGAATAACTCAGTATTTTTAATCTGTAATTTTCCATAGAATATAATAGTTAGTCTCTCTTTTAATATTCCATTCTTGTTCCTACTAATTCAAATATTAGTAACATAATTCTTCAGCTAGCACAATTATTGAATGATAAATATATTGCGTTTTGACGCCATTTAGATTATTCTATATATAATTATTTTTCTATCTAGTCTTAGTATATAAATAACATTCAAAACTACCGACAAGATTTTTATATGCTTTAAACATACTGTAGAATTTATTAGAATGATAAATAAAAGTTTTATATATCAGATTTTTTATGTATTGTGTTCGTCAAGTAATATAATTATCAGGAGAATAACTCTAATTGTAAGTGTTAATGAAATATGACAATCTCTTCCATATTTTATTGAATCTTTTCTTCTATTCTTTTATAGAAATTAAATATTATTCATCTGTCACATTTCATTATTTACATAGCATACTTATTCTTGTCGCATGGTACTCGATGCTTCCAGTGACATAGAAGTGTAATCAAAAGGCTTTTTATTTTATTTTACTGATCTCATATTTATGTTTATATAGTTAAATAAATTCATCGTTTTCCATGATGGAAACATATTTTCGAACATGAGTATGAGATATGAGAAATTATGTTAAAAGTAAGTCTCACATAATTAAAGTATCTATATCCTTCTTATTGATATTGAAGAGTATTTTATAAACATTTATTCTTAACACATAAATGGAACTAACTAGAAAAACAATAATGAGCTCTTAATCGTTGAATAAAACAGATGTGTTATAAATTAGAAGATTGTACTGCATGATATTTTCTTCTATTAATTCAATTAAAATACAACTATCAACACTAAAATAAATAAATAATCTATTTCAAAAAAGTAAATTAAGATTACGCTAGTGATATTATGAATGATTTCGACAGCTCATATTCTGTACCCTCTAAAGCATCAGCGCATATTACTTTCGCTTGATAATTCTCCATCCGAGCGCATCTAGTAGAAAAACTAGATTTTATTTTGATGTTATATATATATATACAAATTAACACATGCATCGTTCTACAATTTAGATATGAATTATTATTTAAAAACAATGATCGCAAATGAAAGTAGTAATATAAGCATAACAACTAATGGTTATACTACGTCATTCGAGGGAAATCGAATTAAATTCTCGATACTTCTTCCTCTTCAAATATGTTCCATACTTTGTTTTCTCTATGTTTTTCTTCAATTTACTTATCAAAAACAACTTCGTCAAACTATTCATTATCATGTCATTCTTCTTCTACTCATTATCTCATTTATTTTTGTTACAACTGCACTTTCTCTCACTCTTGCTTACATGTATACTTCTCAAGTTAATCCATCAACTAAAATATTTTGTTCATTATGGAATTGGTATCATTATTCTCTCAATATTATCAATCTTTTTCTCATGGCATTTGCAAGTATAGAAAGAAATCTCTTTATATTCTATCCAAAACTCATGAACAATAAAACTGCTAGATTCTTCCTTCATTATTGTCCACTTATTTTCTGTGTTATATATCCACCTCTTTTTTATGCTGCTGCTATATTTATTCATAAATGCGTCTCCTATTATGATTATACTCAATTGTTATGTAAATGGCCTTGTTATTTTTACAATACAAATTGGTCGAGTATAGATTTATTTCTTAATAACTATACTCCTTTACTCTCTATTCCAGTATTTTGTATTCTTCTTTATGGTCGTGTACTTATTCAAAAGCATACTTTGAAACAACAAAGATTCAAATGGCGTCGTGACAAAAAATTGATATTACAACTTTGGGCAATATCAAGTTTATATTTATTGATGTGGATGCCAGTACAATTAGCAGGACTAATTAATATGTATTGGTTGCCAACATTTTTATTACAAGCTCAAATTGATTATATGTATTTATTTCCATATTTGATACATATTCTTTATCCATTTATAGTTTTACTAAGTTTTCATAATGAAATGCTCAAATTTAAACGAGTTGCAATAAGATAAATTCAACGAACTTTTGTTTTGATTGATTTTTAAATGTTGAAAACATATTGTAAAAACAATGATTATTTTTGAATAAATAAATTGTATAAAAAATTTGAATTTTTCGATAATACATTTATATGATATGATCGTAATAATATAAACTATACATATTTAGTTTTAATTTTCATAGTGAGAAATTATTTAGTAATGACTAGTTTCATATCATGTTTCTTTTCTATTAATCAGAATATACGTTATTAATTCTCCCAGGGTTTTAAACTACAAAGACATATTATTTAATGAATGCTTTTTCGATACATTGTAACAATAATGATAATCTATATCAATTGAATATTTTTACAATCTTCTTTATTTTATAGTCTATTTTAATAAGATGCATTGGACAGACGAGCACAAAAAATTAAATACCTTGAGACAATGCTCGATTGTAAACTTTCCTTCTCTTCGCATTTAGATTATATTGGAGCAGAAAAGTTTGTCAATATTTGAGCGCTTAACATCTAGTTGAATGTTGAGCGAAGATGTTGCTTATCGGCTTTATTAATGATACACAATTGGTATGGTGCAACCAGTATAAAAATTCTTTATATTAGTAAGTGTCAAAGCTCATAGACATGATCCTTGGATGATTGACAAATTTCTTTAACATAAAATGTGCATGTTATATTTATAGAAATATTACAAAGATCCGACATAGCCATAAGATAAAAGAACAATGTTCAATAAAGAAAGAATGAGTAATAAAATTATCTATTTAATCAATGAACCTGCAACTCTCTTGTTTAGTCCTACTATTTGCGTCTAATTATATTGGGTTATTATAACTTTCTTCTTTCTCTGTCTTTATATAAATAGAAATTTCACTTTGATGTATACTCTTCTCCTCTACTGAGTGCAATTCTATTTTTAAAATCTACTGTAAGTTAAGCTTCAAAAATTGTATGTAGAACTCGTGTTAAATGTGTCACAGTTATGATTTTTTTTGTCGTAGGGATGTAATGTACTCTTGACACCGAAACATGAAGACATATCACACATTTCTTGTTAAAAATAGAAGCAGTAGAATAAATTCTGAGTAAAAAAATTTCAGTTTGAATCAATGATATCGATTAATCTTTCATAGTATCATTAGAGCAAACTTTCTATCAACAACTATGTCATGCAGAAAAACATAAAATGAACTAACTATCGGTACTACAAAGCTGGCTTTGTAAAATTCTGAAACATATTATTATTATTATTCTATATATATTCGAAAACTACTATACTAGAGAAGAATCTATTCATAAAAACATATTCAAAACACGTAAATTTAGTCTAATTATTTTTGCATTGGAAATCAGCTGCATACTGCGCTCAAATGCATCATAATATAATAACCACAATTATTAGTTGATAAAAAATTCTATTTCTATCTTCTTGATTGTATTAAAACTATGAACTATTATATCTGATTATTTATAGTTAGAAGAAAAAAACAAAAAAAATATATATATACATATGTGTATCTCAATGATATTTAAGAAAATAATGAAGAAATACTTTTTGAATTATATTCAGCAATCAATTGTTTGATAACTGCAGTCTATGAATAAGTTATGCGTAAATCATCACTTGTCTTCTCGATCATAATTGAATTATATCTAAAAGAACGGCTACTGCCAGTTAGAAGAACATATATAAATAAAAGACAACTAAAGAAAGAAAAGACTAGAGGAAATCTAATCGCTCGACTATGAAGCATCGTATTCGTTCCTTGTTTCAGCTTTCTCTCTAAGTATAAAAACGAGTGTCAACATATTGTTTTGTGAGCCTAGCGGCTTGTTCTCGAGGAATAACAGCTCGACATCGATAAATAGATGAAGAAAAAGCAGAGAACATTAAACTGATTTTCATTTCACATACAATCCTCTTTTCCTCTCTCTCTCTCCCTCGTTTTAGTTCTCTGTATGCTAGTACTCTTCTTGTTGTCTTTCTTTGATTTATAGATAATCACTCGTGATTAGAAACAGAAAAGGACATATTTATCTATCTATCTCTCTCTATATATATATATATATGTATCAATGAATTACCAGATGTCTCAAATTGTTATTACATATATTAACATAAAAAATTATGTCTATACAAAATTGGATAATAATTAACCACTTTTCTATATCTAATGCCATGTTCTTTGTATTGTTGCATTGTAAGTCATCAATGAGTTCATATAAATAAATTATGTTGTTTCTTCTTTTTTTCTTCTTCTTCTATACTTTTTTTTCTTCATATTTTCTTCTTTTTTAGTACCGCTGTTGTTGTTGTCAGTGTAAGAGAAATATTGGCGGGACGGAGAACGGTATTGGTAATAGTGCTGGAAATAAATCTACTGGTGGACAATGGGATACGTATTTAGATTCACGATATGATACATTAACAGGTTCACTTATTATTGCATGGGAAGAAAGTGATACATGTTTCGAATATATTCATCGATCAGTTCATATTTTAAGTATCAGTAGTAAGTTTTTCACTTTGTTTCTTTATCAATCAAATAAATAATTATATTTAGTTCCTATTATTCTCACCGAAGCAATATTGGTGCTTACCTTTTGTTTAATGTTTATATTTGGTTTGTAATCATCAGTTTTAATTAGATTCATATATATCTTTATGTAATATATATTCAGGATGTAAATATTCAAATGAATGTCCAAAACAACCATTACTTATTATATATCATCTGATTGGTGGTGGTGTTGGCTTCTTTTTTTGGTTATGGTTAATGCTACGAGCATTACGTCGAAGACGATTAGAATCAGGTCTTGAAGATGATGATGATATTGATTATGATGCAAATGTAGCAGATAGTTCAGGTGGACAAAGGCTTAAAGATAATGGCATATGGTTTATGGAATTATTAGCATTTATTTTTCTTCTTATTGCTTTTTCTATGGGAAATTATTGGACATGGTCCATTTTTTGGCCAGCAGAAGATATGACTGAAACACAGCCTATTGATTGGTGTAATCATTCATTGTATATATTTTCATTAGTTTCAATTGGAATTATTTATGTGCTTGCGTTATTTGTTATATTATTCATATTTTCATTTGTCATTTTTGCAAGATATTGTGCTCGTATTTTGATTAATGAATAAAAGAAATAATTCAAAACAAATATTTTTGTTAAAATCTATTATTTTAATTCTAAAGTAATAGATTTTTATAAGACTATTTAACTAGCAATTCATTGAGACAATGAACTATTGTTCTATTCTTTTCTATTGAACAACATATATATTAATTCTTTTTTTTTTTTTAAGATTTCGGTAGATATTGTGAATTATTAATTATATTTAATGCGTAAAATATTCAAGTCAGTTATGACATGAATGAGAATTATTAGTCAAAAAATGAATGCTAGAAGAAAAAAAGTAATGGTTCTTCCGGACTTGATTATTCTAGAAGAAAAGAATTATAAATCTTTTGCTTTTAAAAGTAAAGCAATTTGTTATTTTAAGTGGTAAAAAAAATGTCTGCACAATGGTAGAAGAATGATTGATTGAAATGTAGCCTTCAGACGGACAGAAACAAAAGTAAGAAGAAATAGTTAGATGCATATATATATATATATATATATTAAAAAATAAAGAACAAAACTAATAATGAAACTTCTTATATTAATCTTCAATAGTTTCAGGAATATGCTGCCTAAGGGGGTGCGGAGAAGTGCGCGCCACCCACGTATTTTTGTTGCATATTCCTAAATAGTTTTCAAGTTATGACAGTGGCGGATTTAGGGGCGCGATGGGGGTGCTCGCCCCCCCCCCTTCTCAATTTTTTTTTTGATTTTTTCCAGCAAAAATGAACGAAAAAATAGGTTCACACTACTTCGGTTGGACTCAAAAAATAGCTTTTAATCAAAATCGGCCCCCCCCCCTCCTCCAAAATCCTAGATCCGCCACTGAGTTATATTTATTATTATTGTTGGTGATTGTATAAAAGAATCAATTGAGACCGTGTCATATTATGAATTTAATGATAGTCAGAAAAAAAATTTCATAATAAAGAATATGATGAATTTGTCATATAGATTTAACTATATGGAAATTAAGTTTTATCGCAACACTAAAAATTATCATACAATGATAATTCTAATAGATGGAGCTAGGACATGATGGATTGTTTAGTTCAATATGAATAAAAATAGTTTATTTCATTATTTCTTCATATTATTCTATATTTTAAATTCAATAGTGTATTTAATTAATATCAAATCAAATGATATTCTTTTCGTCAACAGTAAGAATTTCATAATACTGGATAGGTAATCCATAGTATACCATGTATCTTTCCAAACTCTCATTGAAATAATTCATAAACAAGCCAGCCAAGTTTTTGGTTACTATCATTAAATATATATTATATTTCTTTTAGTTTTATTTTAGATCTCGTAAAAAAAGTCTATCGAGTCACTATGAAGTAGGACACCGAAATTAATTTGTAATTATTTATTTAAATAAATGCGTGTTTAGACTCGAAATTTGCAATTACAGTGGATATAAAATCTATCCAGGCCATGGAAAACGTGCTGTTAAAACAGACGGCAAGGTTCGTTTGAATAATTTGTTTTTGTTACAAAAAAAACAAGAAAATAATATTATTTTATAGATACATATCTATTTAAATTCGAAATGTCAACGAGCGGCTGATATGCGTCGAAATCCTCGTCGTGTTACATGGACTGTTTATTATCGACGAAAACACAGAAAAGGTGCAGCTGAACAAGAAGTCAAAAAACGTACACGTCGTAATATTAAATTTCAACGAGCTATCACCGGTGTTACATGGAACGAGATCCTTGCTAAACGTAACCAACAACCAGAATTTCGAAAGGCTCAACGACAAGATGCCATCAAGTAAAAATCTTTTTAAATGTCTATTTTTTTGATTTGTTTTAATATTGAATATCTATTTATTAATAGTGCAGCTAAACAAGCTAAAAAGGCTAAAGCTCAACAAAAGAAAGTTGCAGCACCATCTAGTCTTAAGGTAAATTATTTGAAATGCTTTACTTTTTTTTCCTGAAATAATTATATTTTCTTTTCTTTTCTAGGCTAGTAAACCAGTGAAAAAACAACAAGAAAAGATTCAAAAGAACGTTCCAAAGGCTGGCCCAAAGAAGGGCACTCAACGATAAACACATTACAATTGTTTATGTTGCCGCCCCGTTTTTCTTGCTTTTTTTTAGCAAACGTTGCGTGCGTTCATTGCTTGTATCTCTGTATATCTCATCTATTTTTTCTTCTTCATCATCATCATTATTTAATAGGATGAAATAAACAGAGATCAAAAAGAAGAAGATCAATTAACAGCTTACATTATAATAACAAGAAAAATAAAATCACTATCCATTTAAATGATATTATTATTCATAGAACAGATTGTTTGATTTTCTTTATGAGCAATGGTAATCGAGAAAAGATGATGATTTTGATGTATATAGACTTATTTAATCGTAATCTATTATGAATATCATGATAAAGATTTGAAATAGTTGGATAAACATAAATCTTTTGGGATTGTTCAAACTTACTGAATTATAATTCACTCTAGAAAAACATGATTAGTGCCTTGCTATCGAATTGTTCATCAGTTCTCAGACATTCGAAAGAGTTTCACCTGTACACTTCTTAAAATCAAAGTTTATTTATTTCAAACTTTACATTAAATCATGTATACGTATATTGATTCTGAAGTAGTATTGATAAAATTAAGTTGGATATGATTTTGACCTTTAGTTATTTGATTTTATATCATTCATGCAAGACTGAGAATGTTTTTCAATGAGAAAAGCAAGGATATTTATATTCAGGCATTTAATTGAATAGATTGTTCATAATAACCAAGATTTCACGTATTTCATTGTCGTTAAACAGTTGTAAGTTCTTTTCAGAATACGTAAATGGTTATGTCTATGTTAGTATCAAGCAAGCAGTTATTTTGCTTTTGAAATTCTTTGCAAAACAAATAATGATGTATAATATTCATCCTTAAATACCTAAGACATATAATAAGGGCTTTCTATGTTGTTTATTATTATCTTTTCTCTTTTTGGATATGAATAAAGAACAAGAAGCAAAAAAAAACTGTATCTACGGCCAATACACACTGAATGATTGAAATGGGAGTAAAAAGAGAGATAATGTCTCTATTAATTTAGAACTGTTCTTATCCAGGTAAAACACCAGATGATCTTTGATCATGTTTTTTTCGTTCTTCGGCAACTTCGGCGTTTTTCTTAGCTAAATATTCTGGTGACCATGAACCATATGGACCTGTGTATTTTTTAATATCGTCTGGTGTTACTTTCATTTCCTTCTTGATGATTTCTTTAGCTTGTTTTTCAATAGAAACATCGATTTGAGGGTCTATAAAGATAAATTCAATTATTATCATCAAAACACAAAAAGCTAATACCTTTGAAATCAAGTTTTGGTACTGAAAGAAGGTCTTCAGCTTCAGCACCATATGCATTTTTTAATTTAGTAAGTTGATCTTGAAGACTTTTGCGTACTTCAGGTGTAGCATCAACAAGACCATCTTTTGTTTGTCTAAGATAAATATTAAATATTTGTTTAAATTGAGTTTAATAGAAGAAGAAAAAAAACTAACTTTCGTTTTTCATTATATTCACGAATTTTATTAACGAACAATTGCTGAATTGGATCAGTAACTTGTTGTTGTTGTTTCGATTGTTGGGCAACGCTCGCACTTAATGATAAATGACGAGCAACAATCAAACCAACTGAATTACGTAATGATAAAGGAACACACCGGTTCAACATGATACGATCTCTAGAAAAAAAATAAAAATTTTGCGATTGAGATAAAAGTTTAACGAGAACGAAGTTGTTTTGTTTATTATTGTCATCAGTAGTAGAAATGTTTTTTTTTTTTGGTTTTTACGAGACGAACCAATAGAAATCTTTTCTTTAGAGAGGTCGCTAGATAAACATTGAATATATACTGTAATATACAATATAAATCAAATTACATAGATTTAGTTTTCATTTTGAATTGATAATTTGTGTCGATATCTCCATTTATTTTATGGAGTGAATTTTGACATGAGAACTTTTTTTATTTACAAAGAAAACGAAATAATTGGTTTAATCTCATCGGCTGACAATTGTATGTATAAAAACAATGATTAGTATTTCAGAGATGAAAAACAAAATATTCAGAAGATTATTAATATATGAAGAGAAATCTCTTGAGATTATTATACCACGATGATTTGTCATAATTCTAGACAGGAGGAAATAATATAATAAAATATTTCAATCTTAAATGTACTAAAGAAAATTTTATTATTATTGATGACAAATAGAATTAATATATTTACGATAATCTCATGTACATATTATTTTTTTAGTAATAAACAGGGATTACTAAAAGCAAATACTATAAAGTTTTATTAATGTTAGTACGTAATGTAACTGAAGAATGTACTTATAATTAGGTTCGAATGTTATCAGCTGTTTACTTTCTTTCTGCACGATCATTCGTTAGTTAGATACTATATCTTTTCAGGGATAAAATAATACGCAGTGAAAATCTTTTCTTTTTTCTTCTATTTCTACTGCTGATAGTTCTAGTATATAATAATCATCAGTAAATAAACATTGCGACACTATTTGATTATGTTATCGAATGCACTTTTATATAAGGAACAGTCGAAAGTACAATCGGTGATTGTGAGGCGGTATATTCTTTAAAAAAATTCTTACGATGTATCACATATTTCTTATCATCAATAGAATTCACTTTTCTTTTTTTTGTAATAAACATAGTCAGTATTATATTTCCCATATATGCAGTATATTATTATAATTTATTTTAATGCGTATAATAAGTTACTCCTACAATAACGGACAAAGATTTTCATAGTAACTTTGTCTTTTTAATGAGTTGTCGTACAAGCTGTGCATATTCTTTAGAAATAAGTTGTTTTTTTCTTGTTGTCTTTTACATTTCTATTCTATTGACACTTCTAATATGTTTCTCGCTTCGTTTTTTTCTCTTTCTAGTTTTTTTTCTTCTTTGACAATCGGCAGAAAGATAGTGATACAAAATCGAGTGAGAGTGCGTATGCTAGTACTTTCAGTATGACCTTGCCTCATCTTTATGTTTTACCCAATGAAAGAAGACTACCACTATGTGTTTATTCTTCTTCTTCGATAGAACGGAAAAGTCTGTTGTTTAGAATGAGGAAAAAATTCATCCATGGTGATTAAAGGACGAGAAGAAAAAGATATTCTCTTTCCTCCTTTTCTATCTTGAAAACTCTTTTTATTTAAAAAAAGGTCAATCATTTCTTTCTATTTCTTTCTTTCTAAGTATTCATATTACAATGAATAATGATGTCGTTGAAAAGAAGAAATACACAAGAGAAGAAATAGCTCAACGTATTATTGACAATGGCGATCTGCTTGTTATTCATTCAAATAAAATCTATCGACTCAATGCTTGGATTAAACATCATCCAGGCGGTGACATGGTTATTTTACATATGGTTGGAAAAGTAAGATTGATATTATACGAATAACAAATGATTTTAATAAAATATATTTTAGGATGCAACTGATGAAATAAATGCATATCATTCAGATCATATTTTACGTACAAAATTGCCATTATTCTATTTTGGAGATGTCGATACTGAAAATTGTGACGATTTTAAATCACTGATTCCACCAGTTCAATGTGATTATAATATCAAAGATATCAATAATAATCGTCTTTTAACACCAGAGACTTTATTAAATTATAATAATGAAAATATGATTCAAGATTCAGTTGAACATAAACATATCATTGAAGCATATAGACAACTTTATTCTAAACTTCGATTTTTAGGTAAGAGTTTTTAATTTTTTGTATAATCTATTAGTATATTATTATTATTTTAAATAGGTTTATTTGATTGTAATTATTTTGAGTACGGTCGAGAATGTATACGTTATTTTATTCTTGCATTTCTTGCTATTTATTTTTTTGTAACGGCAACTAAAGCTTGGCATTATAATATATCAGCTGTATTTCTTGGTGCTTTTTGGCATCAATTAACATTCACAGCGCATGATGCTGGTCATTTAGCTATAACACATTCATATCGTATTGATTCATATATTGGAATTTTTATTGCTAATGTATTAGGTGGAATATCAATTGGATGGTGGAAATATCATCATAATATTCATCATCTCGTAACAAACTCACCGGAACATGATCCAGGTAAGATTACATATTTATCTTATAAAATTGAAAAAAATATTTTAAGTTAGATATGTTGTCACTTCATAAATTGACTTAATAAAGGTTATGAAACAAATATTTAATCATGTTTGAAATCTAACCACCATCACTAATAGTTTGTTTTTTTGAAATTCAAACTTAACCAATGCTATTTGAGTTTAAATTAATATTCATCAGATTATAATAACAATTACCTAGGATTTTCTGACGAGGAATTAATATATTAATCCTTTGAAGATCGGTGACGTATATATGCGTCGCTCGTCTTGATATAATTGAGATACTTGAATTTGAAAAACATGTCTGTTGCTGTCTTATACTACTGTGGGCTTATACAAAGACTCGTAATACATCTCGAAAGTTTGAATGAACTTAATTAAAAATTAAAAATAACTTTTTTCAAAAGATTATCCTGCTAGCGATTCCGGTTCAAAAAGTAATTCGGTCCTCAAAGCATTAATATCTTATGCCTCCTTTAGAAGAAAAGACACAAGTACATTCTAAGTCCTTTAAATAATTCTAGAAAAGTTGAATCGTTTTTTGCAATTTTATTATTAAAATCCTTCAGAAATATTTAGTATAAGCTAGTCATCTGAGTAACAAAATAAAAAGGAAACTTAGCTTTCCGATACTAATTACTAGTTTCAGACTGATTGAAATTATAAACGACATATCCGGATACAGGCTGAAAAGATAGACAAAAGTTTTAGATCCAATGAGTTCCATCTGATAATAGAACTGCTTGACTTTTGTGTTTCTATTATTAGTAAACATCTATACTCTCAATCATATTTCTTACATTAGTCTTTTTCATGTGCTCAATTACTTAAATATATAATTCGGTTTGATTTTCTTTACTAATTAAATTAGAAAATATTTCTTTCATTGAAACTTTTATTTTCGATTTTTTTTCTTTCAGACATTCAGCATTTACCATTTTTTGCTGTTACACCACGTTTCTTCCAATCAGTTTATTCAACATATCATAAACGTATTTTATCATATACATGGGCTGCATCATGTATAATTCGATTTCAGCATTTCAGTTATTACATAATAATGTGTTTTGCTCGTTTTAATTTACAAATTCAATCATATATTTATCTTTATAAACGTACAAATGGACCATATCGTTATGTTGAAATTTTTGCATTATTAATCTACTGGTATTGGTTTTTATATGTATTATGGGTTATTCCAACTTATACAGAATCTTTCATTTATTTAATGCTATCTTATGCAGTAACAATGCCATTACATGTTCAGATAACACTTTCACATTTTGGTATGTCAACTGAAGATTTAGGACCAAGTGAGTCATTTCCAGCAAAAATGCTTCGCACAACAATGGATATTGCATGTCCAACATGGTTGGATTTTTTTCATGGTGGTTTACAATATCAAGCTGTTCATCATTTATTTCCACGTATGCCAAGACACAATTTTCGTAAAGCAAGTTATTATGTCAAACAATTTGCTGATGAAGTTGGTCTTACTTATCATGTATATGGTTTTGCAAGTGGAAATATGAAAGTATTAAATGTATTAAAAGATGTTGCCATGCAAATAAAACTTATGCGTGATGTTGCAGTGACAAGCAATATTTATACAGATCATTAATGGAATTTATTCTTAGTGATATCTTATGTTTTATGTTTTATGTTTATTATTGAACTTCCGGTGTTGTACCCAGTCTTGTTAATGTTTCTAACAAAGATCTTTAATTTTGTCTTTAAAACGTTTCGTATATGTGATTAAAAATAACAAAGAATACAAGAAAATAAAATAATATTTGAAATCATTTAAAAATAATAGTTACATATCAATACTAAACCTTCTCGATTTGTATCAATATGGAATACTATCTCATATTAGATTTAGCCTTCAGCTGAAATTTTCATGGAGAGTTACAATTTATATTATTGTGAAAGAATACTATTTTTCTGTATCGATATAATAGACGGAACTATTTATATTAAATGAACTCTTTTGCATAGATAATTTTTAGATTAATATACCAATTCAATCTTATTACTTCCGACAATATAACTGTAAAATATTCAGAAGTGATTCCCTTTCATAAGTCATGCTGAACTTCTATTTCTTGCCTAAAATAACACTAGTCAATGATCTTGCTTCTCGTCTTTTTAATTTTCTTAATAAGCAGACGAGATTCTTTCCTGATTTCTTTTTTTTTTGCTTCTTCCATCTAACATGTTTATTTAAAAAGCAATCAATAATAAAAATAATGAATTTACATAAAAATAATGAAAGAATAATATTAAACCAGTTTATTTACATGAAAGTTACAATAGAAAACTAATTAAAATATTTTATTTATATTAAAAACTCATGTCTACTTCTGAAGTTCTTCTTCTTCATATTAGCTGCTCGAATGGATGATTGATCTTTCGTCAAATCATCATGCAACATGACTAGAAAGAATCTTGTCTCGTTGTCAGGAAAGACGAGTGATATTCACCCATTTCGAAATATACAGGATGTCTCAAACGTCATGATCATTTAAGTAATTCATTTTTCTCTCGCATTATCAAAGTGATATTAAAAATAGTTTTTTTTAATTTTATAGAGGGGAATAAAAAGTTGTTTTTCAAACGAGTTACATTTATACGTAGTACTCAAAAATATTATCTTTAACATCAATCATAGAAATGTCGATGTTATATTTCCTAAAAAAACATCCTGCAAGCTTTTTTTTATAATGAAATCGATATGTCAAATTATTCTATTTTTCAAATCACCTCGATGTTCAGCTGTTGTTTTATAGAGATGCTCCTACTAAAGAAACCTCATGGTGTTAAATTTAATGAACGAAGAGCCTATGATATTGATCCATCTCTTCCAGTTAGAGCCCATCGGACCCGGGTCCGGATCGAAAGACATATGTTATTAAAATAATATTCTTTTGAATTTCTTTAATTTTTTATTCATTTCATTCAAAAAACCTTGAATTTATTTATAAAAATAATAGGAAAACAACAACAAAGCTATTTTCGAAGCACCTATTAGATTTTAAGTAGAAAAATTTGCTGAGAGTCTGAAAGTACTATTCGAGTTCAAACTAGTGCTCAATGAGATCGGATCCGGGTCTAGAAAAACTGTATTGAAATAGTCCGGGTCCAAAAAATCGTGGACTCGATGGCCTCTACTTCCAGTCCACCTGCTGCTAATATGATCATATTAAACCGACTACGCACTACCTTCGAGAAAATAGCATCTTCTAAAGAGCTAAAAATAAAATTTTTAGATACCCTATATACATATTATTTAGCATGCTGTGAGCTAATCTTCAAATATTGTAATTAGTTATCTATGATCAAAGTTTTAGCAGAACTAAATGCAAATTATTCATTCTGAAAATGTGCGACATCTGTGTCATGTATGATATGAAATAATTAGAAGTGTACTTTGATCTTTTATACTGTTTATTTATACTAAAAATAGCATATCAATAAAATAATAGTTTTATTATTTCAATCAATATGGTCTAAAGTGATTGTAATATATGGTAACGAATCATCTCTAGTTCTTTGATGAGTCGTGCCTGAAATTTAAGTTTACGTATTGATTTTATCTTATTATAGACAGATTTTCTCATTGGACCATGATATTAAATTATTTGATATAATGCTCAATCGTGAACATTTTGAACTAGAATCAAATCGTATTTATGCATCACTGAAAAAAAGACTTATTGAATTATAAAGATTATCTATCGAAGAGATTCTTTGTGTATTAAAATAGAAAATTTTCCAGGCATAGAAATTAAAATGATCTTCCATTAATGTTTAATTACTATTTTGATAATAATTCAAATTACATGTATATAAAACTAAAACATACTTATAAGAGAAAAAAATGAAAATTTTATTTTTTGCTTTTAAGATTAAATATCTTCGATGGAAGAGCAAGTAAGACAAGAAATTCTTGATGCAAGAGCACAACTTCAAGTAAGAAATAATTTATCGTAATATTTTGAAAACAAAATCCTTGTATGTAGACTCAAGATTCTCAATCATCTGTAGAAGCTAATCCATTATCACATTTTCGTTGTCGTATAGTTCCTAATCTTAATTTTAATGGATTTGATAAGCCAATATCAAATACATCGAATATTTCTCATGAATGGGATCATATTATTAAATGTGTTTTAACTACAAATGGTTTGTAAAATTTCAATTTTTCGAGAACGAATTAATTAAATATTCTTTAGATTTTGAAATGTTCAAAGAAGCATTATGGTTTATTAAAAATGAAGATAATCTATATTCAAGAAGAGCACTTATCATTGAATATATTCGAGTGTGTTAGTTTAATTATTTTGAAAATTAAATAGAAAAATGTTTTTTTGATATTATTCTCTTCAAAGGTTGTTGTTTAACAGATGACGCTGTAAATGATGCTGTTGATCACCTTCTTGAATATCTTCATCAAGATGTAAGTTAAAAATAAATTGAATTTAAATTATAAAAGATGAATTTTGTAGATTGAAGCGACATGGCAATATGATATTGGATTTCTATTTGATCTTCTACATAATGCTGGTGTTAATGTTGAAAAATTGATTTCGTTATTAGGCGATGTGGAAGTCAAAGAATTATTAAATGAGTAAAATTTCGAAAGAAAAATATCTATTAAATAGAATGAATTTTTCTTTTAGTATACAATTGAAATCAAAACTTAATTATTATGAATCAACGAATAGTAAAGCATCGGCAAATCAAATAACAAATTCTATAAAACGTGTTTTTCGAATTGTTTTATCTTTGGGATATTTTCAAATCGAAAAGTAAAAAAACAAAAATATATTAAAAGAAAAGTTTTAAAATTTATTTAATTCTATTAGTTCAAAACCAACATTATCAAATGATAATTATTTATTCTTAATTTTACTTGGATTTTATCTTCAACTTGATAAACGTTTTCAAGATATTAATATTATTCATATAGCACGACGTTTAATGGTTAATGCATTAACTTTATTATCAGCAACATATTGGAATGAAAAGGTTAGTTTTGATATCATATGAAAAATCTGGCGCTAGGGCAGAACGTCGCAGCTCATTTTAGGGTTCAAAATGAACTGCTAGTAAACCTTTGATGTTGGGCAGTGTATGTACGTGGGATGTGAATATTCGATGCACCCTCATACGAACTGAGCCATACGCCTGCGACGTTTTGTCCATGCGATATTCTGTCCGGTCATCAAAAATCTTCGACATTATGTAGATGAAAGTCGCTAATAGATATCTTTGAGAACATGAAGTTTCTCCTAACTTCTAATATGAAAGTAGTGTTTCATAATATACAGCTGTCATTATCAGAAATCAGTAATCTATTCTAATATCTCTACCATTACAGGACTTATAAATACATGAGTATTCTTACATTCAAGAAGATATCTTCTCCATTGAATAGTATTTCTTTTAGCGTGATTTACTCGTTGAATGTCTGTATACATTATCATCAAAAAATGTTTATATTGTTGAATTATTTTTAAAAACAAATGAACGTACTGTTCGAATACGTACTCAACTTGCTTTATTGCATCTTAAAAGATTAGTTAATATGACTGAACATGGGAAAAAAAGTGAAGTAAGAAATAGAAAAAACTTATTTATTTATTTATTTTAATTTCATAATTAAAGGCAATGGTTATTGATGAAATTATTCAAAATAAACTTAATCCACGTTTATTTGAACGACAAATTGATTTTATTGATTGCGTAAGATTACTCGGAGATATCGTTGATAGTTATCCAATTGAACAACAAATAGTATAATTTCAGTAGTAAAATTTCTTTGTTTTTAATAAAATAATTATTATTTTAGCAATCTATAAGAAAATTATATAATGCAATTCAACCCTATACAAAAACTACTCATGAAAAATTATTAACAGATGAAGTAAACATTCGAAGTTGAATTATTAAAACATACATTATTTTATTTTTACTTAGCATGTATTAATTCTTTATGATGATTGGCAACGATGGGCAACAATGTTAAAACCTTATTCCATAGACAATGATTCACAAAAACGTCTTAAACGAAAATAAACTTTCTACTTTCTTTTCCCTTTCATATTGCGGCGAATAGATAAAAAAAATATTAAATCTGTATTATATTCTAGATATAAATATAGATATATAATAAAACCGACCGAACTATGAAAGGTCTGGTTACATTAATTACTGGTGGTGCATCCGGTTTAGGTCTCGCCTGTGCAAAACGATTCTCACAACAAGGTGCACGTGTTATTATATGTGATTTGCCTTCATCAAAAGGAAAAGATGTTGTTCAAAAATGGGATGCAATATCACATACTTCAAGTCAAGAACTTGATTTACAAGCAGATAAATTAGCTGCTCCACAAAATGTAAGATAATATTATCCCATCAATTCAAAAGTTTATAGTATTTTTTATTTAGTTCCGAGTTAATAAAAAGAATACTGATGAAAAAAATACAAGCACTTCGATTATTGATAATTCACCAAATGATCAAAATAATCAAGGACAAGGACCTATGTTTTTTCCTGCAGATGTTACTAATGAACAACAAATACAAGATATGTTTACTCAAATCAAACAGAAATATGGTCGTCTTGATGCTGTACTTAATTGTGCAGGAATTGGTGTTGCTTTTCGAACTTATAATATAAATAAAGTAAGAATATAGATCATTAATTAAAACTTAGATAATAAAGACTTGATTTTTTCTATTTAGCGTTCAATGCATAGTCTTGACGATTTTAAACGTGTTCTTAATGTAAATGTAGCAGGTACTTTTAATGTTATACGTTGGGCTTGTCATATTATGGCTGATAATCAACCAGATTCTCAAGGACAACGTGGAGTTATTATAAATACAGCATCTGTTGCTGCATATGAAGGTCAAATTGGACAAGTAGCCTATGCAGCTTCAAAAGGTGCAATTGTTTCTATGACATTACCATTAGCACGTGATTTATCTAATATGGGTGTTCGAGTTTGTGCTATAGCACCTGGTGTTTTTCATACACCAATGCTTGCATCTTTACCAGCAAAAGTTCGAACATTATTAGGTAATATGGTACCATTTCCACCAAGACTTGGAAATTCTGATGATTATGCTCATTTGGCACAAGCCATTCTTGAAAATCCTTATCTTAATGGTGAAGTTATTCGATTAGATGGTGCACTTCGTATGCCACCTTAATAGTTATTTCATGAAATGATTAACTTCATTTTCTTTTTGTTTTCCTATTCATTTTGAACAGTTCATATCATTAAAACTTGTCTTCTTTTTTTGTAATAACATTGACCAACAGAATAAATCGGTACAAAAAAGAACTGCACTAAATAATACTAAATAGAACAATGAACAAAAATGATTATTCTAGATGAAGAATCTTGTCGCATTAATTACCGGAGGATTATCAGGTTTAGGTCTTGCTTGTGTAAATAGATTTGTACATCAATTTAATGCAAAAGTTATTATATGTGATTTACCTTCCGTATCTTCAATATCTATTCCTTCTTCATCATTATTTTTACCAACGGATGTAACATCAGAGATTGATGTAAAAAATGTTTTTAATCGTATAAAAAAGGATTTCGGTCGTTTAGATGTACTTGTTAATTGTGCTGGTATTGTTCTATCTCAACAAATTTTCGAACATTCATTTAAAGATTTTAATCGTGTACTCGATGTTAATACTAATGGAACGTATAATATGATTCAACAAATGAGTCCATTAATGATAAATAATGGAGTCATTATAAATACTTCATCGGTAGCTGCATTTGAAGGACGACGTGGACAAACAGCATATGCAGCTTCAAAAGGAGCTATCATTGAAATGACTCAACCATTAGCAAAAGAATTAGCATCAATGAATATTCGTGTATGTGCTATCGTTCCTGGTGCTTTTGATACACCAATGTTACGTAAATTACGTACAACAGTTCCTAGTACACCAGGAAACTTTCCACTTTTTCCTGCTCGACTTGGTAGTACAGATGAATTTGCACACCTTGTTCAGACAATTGTAGAAAATCCATTATTAAATGGTATTAATATTCGACTCGATGCACTTCTTCGCATGCCACCTTGATATATACTATTATATTTTTTTTAATTATAAAACAAGCTTCATCAGACACTACTTAAAAAAGTAAACAATCGAATAAAACTTTACATGATGCATATAATTTTGCATATTTTTTTATTATTCTACATTTTCGTATATTTGATATGATATTGAATTAAAGACTAGAAGCAATTGATTCTAATTAAACTAAAATTTCGGTTTAGTATTCATATTTAATGAATAAATTATGTGAAAAGATGAATTTATTAAATAGTATTTAATTAGAGTATATCATGTCAGGACTTTCCTTATGAATTTATTACGTATTTCTTATAAAAATTCTTTGACATTGAATAAAAATATTTTACATAACATGAATTAATGAGTTGACAACAACTAAATTTATTCATAAACAAGGAACAGACATTTCCGTTTTATTATCAAACTGAAAAGTAATCTTATTGAAACAAAAGAACTGGTTTTATCATAATTTATTGATATTTACCAAAGTCAACGTCCTCTCAAACATAAATATCAGGACTGAAGATATAAATAATATTGAGAACATTTTTCGCATATTATCTCAAAAGGAAAGTGTGGTGTGAATAGCAAATACTACACTTTGACAGACTTTTTTCCGGTAACTGAGTATATTTAAAGTATACCGAACGTCCTGGTATAATGTATGAAGTTTTATTATATGAATATATTGTCAAATACTTTGTCTATCATAATAGATATAATGACTCCATCTTGAATTTAGTTACAACATTCTTTTAGATCAAATCTATAATAATATCAAATAAAACTATGAAAAAAGAAGAGATATTTCTATTTTTATTTTATTCAATACTTAAAATACTTATCACAATTAGTTATACAAACGTCCATCATTTTTAATAGTTCATTAAAAAATTGTTTTGAATTTTTTGTTTGAAATATTATTTTGTAATACAGGATGAATCATACATGACACCTCGATAAGAAATTTAAATATATCCATTACGGCTCGTGTAAATGAGTGGATCTTTTGTCAATGATAGAGACATGTTCAAAGTTTAGATCCATAAAGACGTGCTTAAAGGAATCCCTCGTTAAGTATCAATATTGATCTCAACAAAAAAAAATTTACTTTTTGACGCATAGGGAGAAACTTAATATACAAGTAGACGCGAAAGTCATACTTTGTCGAAATATTAAATATTTTCACTACGCCTTCAGGAAACAAACTGAGTTTTTTTAACAATGATAAAGACATGCTTATAAAGACTGTTGGTAAATATATTATTCATTTTCCCTATACGTCAAAAGGTAAATTTTTTCTGTTGAGATCAATATTGATACTTAACAAAGGATCTCTTTAAACACGTCTTCATTGATAAAAAAATCAGCTCGTTTACACGAGTCGTAATGGATATATTTAAATTTCTTATGGGGGTGTTACTAATGACCCACCTTAAATATTGAAAATCTTCTGTGCTAACGATTATTCATTTATCTGATCATTTAGCTATAGACGAGAGATTTCGGTATGTATTCATACAATAAAATATTCGATACTAAAATTAGGACTTCTGGTATATTTTAAATCGTCTAAACGAGTTACCATACATATAAATCGCTTTATTCGAGTGGCTTGACTGTGTTTGTCCTCACCACGATGAGAGAAAGTTAAATATTATTTTGAGTAGTTACATATAAGAAAATTAAAAGGAAAATAAGGGCTCATTAAATATTCATTTTAAAAGACATGACTGTTAATTAGTTCATTTCTTTTTCTTCTTGTCATGACTCTTCTGTAGTGGGATGTTTGTCACAGCAATTGATGAGTTTGTCAAAGTTCATTGTGAAGTTATTGTAGAAGTTTAAAATGTGTATAATAGATCGACTTCTTAGCATCGTTTGAATAAATGCTTTTTCACGGTAGTATTGATGTGTTATATTTCTGTACTTATCGTTCAATATAGGTCAGTCGTTTTTTTATATTTTTGTCCTAATGTTAGAAGGTGAAAGACTTCATGAAGATCGTTCGTTGAGCATTAAAACAGATGGTATGTAACTCGTAGACAAAATATATAACTGTTATCATCAATATTGTATGATTTTAATGAGACGTTTCTAACTTTTTAAAAATGCTAATAATATTTATATTTAATAAATGTCCTTCTCAAATTGCTAAACATTTGAACTGCATACATTAGATAGAGCACCTGTATTCATTTAGAATAAAGATAAATATTATAAAAAAAAGTACCTCAAGTGTATTCCTATGTGGAGCAGACGGGAAAATGTTGATAGTAGGAAAAGCAACGGAAACGGTGTAGGGAGACAAATGTTGAAGATGGTGTAGGGGGATTTTTGTTTGTCGTCCTTATTCTCATTCACCCGCACTTTCAATATTTTGCCTTATATGTCTCCGGTAAACATCAAAGATTTGTTCTTTATCGAAGGACTTTGTGTAGAGTACAATTTATCCATAGAAAAAATAAACTTAGAAATAAAAGCGTATTGAACATATCTATCAAATAAGGATTGACTTTATACACCTATTGAAAACGAACTTTTCACAATATATTAATTTCATCATATAGATATTTCGAAGTGTTTGATAAAACTTTGAAAAAATTAGTCTTACTAATAACACATATTTTTAGTTAATAATTAAAAACTAAATAGATAATTCTTCATAGTTTTGTATCATAAACATACGTTATAATTTTTGTATGAATTTTTTATTCTCACAAGCGCTATTTCTATTTTAAATATCAAAAGTCGATGACTTCGATATCTTAAACAATTTTCAATATAGGCATGATCGTTAATAATTAAAGAATACTTGAGTTCGTTTATAACATTAGATAATCATTTTCTAAAAATGTGTACTTATATAACTTTATTTAGTTTCTCAGATGAATCAGAGTTGTTTTATTGTAATTTTTATAATTATATAAATATCACAGAAACTTATTACATTAAGTATGTCTTACACCTTTTCAATTAACAAATGTCTTTTATAAATCTTAAGAACACAAGTACTACGAAATAATATGAGTAGGAAGATTTATTAATTCTTTTTTCTGGATTATAGCTGTCTTAAAAAATAGAAAAAAATATACTTTTTGATCATCGCGACAAATAAAAACAGTTTTACAATCTATTTAGGAAAAAAAAGTATTTATTAATAGAAATTAAATATCTACCAAATATTTTATTTTTATTTCTTATCTTCTATCCATAAAACTCCCTCAACATATCCGTTTAACCGGATTTTATTTCTAGAAACTATCAACATATATTATTGAGCCCGTTGGCCCTCGCCTATGTCATTAATACCATATGTTAATCATTATTCTCCTATAAATATTATTGAAAATCTCTGTTAACTACCGTCACAAGCAACTCATTTATTTTATATTAATACATAAGCAACTATGAAATCCATCATTATGTTTTATTTGTTATTCATCTTAACTATTGTTATTCCATATAGTAAGTTTTTTCATACATATATATATAAAATTTTGTATTTTAATTTTATTTTATAGCTTTTTCATATGGTAATCATAAATCACCTCTATACCGTTTGTTACAAAATCCGATACACACAAGTGCCGATACCTTGGCATTACCAATCGAGAATGATAAAGATGAATCAAGTTTAGTTGAACAAATGAATTCAATGAATGAAGAACAAAATCATATACAGATTCGAAAGAATATGGATTCAGATGAATACTACTATTTTAAATGGGCAAGTAAAAACCGTCGACCGATTGAATTTTTAACAGGACGAAAACGTGAAGCAGATAAGTTTATGATACCACCACGTGCTCGACGTATTAATGGTGGTCTATGGCGTAGTGGACTTGTTGGCTAAAAACAATATAGACAGATAAGATGGTGGAACGAACTAAATAGTTTTGCCTGTTTTTTCTTATGCACAAATCTTTTTTTTGTTTTTGAATAGCATTAATATATTTAATGAATATGAAACATTTTTTTGTTTCGTAAAACACAATGATAAAATAAAATTGTGCAAATACAAGACAATATATTATTAATTTAGCTTTTGAAATTTAATAGTGCATAACTATTTTCTAAGTTGTAATGACAATTTAGTATTATATTTATAATCAAGATTTACAGTATAAGAAGAGATTAAGAAAATATTTGACAAGTTAAAATTTATAATAAAAAAATTCTTATTAAATAAAAGTGATAAGAAAAATAAATATTGTACTCGTATAATATTTCAGTCGATTCAATTATGCACTTTTCTCTTATCATCAAGTATCTACTCATATTTTCATTCCATTTTTAAGATGCGTCTTTGTAACATATTCACGATTTAATAGTAAAAAGTAATTAATCTATAGAAATTTAAATTCTAAACTTTTGAATGACATTGTTCATGTAGATGATAAATTATATATTTACAAAATCTAACGAGTACATCTAATTAGAGCACATTATTTAAATGAAAAATTAGCATATTAAAAAATAAAAGTAAGATTAATCAATGTCTATTACATAAATCCGATAATAACAAATGAAAAAAGAGCATGTCATTTGTATACTTATGATATAAGACCTAATTTTAGCCTCTTACTTTCACGTAGGAGAAAATTTTTTCCAACAATAACAATTGATATTTATTACAGATGCATGCATTCATTAATCCAGTCTAGTTAAAAGTCATGATACAAAAGTTCCTCTGAACATCTTGACTTATAGAAACAAGTACTTCAAGATTCCTATCACTGATCCATTATTAATGAAACCGCATTCTTATTTGTCATGTTTTCTTTACTAATACAACTATACGGTCACTGAACCTTGAAGAGAAAACTTTTCGCTATATTTATTTCATGTATATAATAGACAACAGTTTATATCATCTAGTTCTTTTCAATAGAGATCAAAAATTATTAATAAAATCTATACATAATAATTAACCATATATTCATTGATATTTCTATTTCAGCTGGTTACATCAATATTAATACACGATTCAACATATGTTAAAACAAAATCATAGATTCTCTATAATACACATTAGCCAATGCTTGAGTAGTTTATTAAAATTTTCATCGTCTTAATAAAATACAAATCCTACTTTATAATTAATTAATTGACATTTTTATTTCATATAATTAATTTAACATGTGATGTACTAACCTTGCCACAAATGTCAAATTCTCTTGAACTTGGAGATTTATAAACTAATAAAATTTGTTTTTATTCGAAAGAGTAATATCTTACCTATAAACTTTGTATCAGAAACATTTTTCCAAAACGAACAGTCAAAAATCAAAAACTTCTAAAAATAGAGTTTTTTTTTACAAGAATTTATCAGTTTGAAAGAATATCAGCCGTGATCTCCAAAAATCCATGTATAAATGAAACTATTCTTGCGTTATTTATTCGAAATATGTCAAATCATAGTTGTTGGACTTTCGCATCGCATATTAGTATCGATTATGATCGATATTAATGTAAACTTTCTTACTACTTATTATTTTTTTATGGTTACATTGACCTTAAATCTTGAGGAGAATCTCTGTGCAATGAGATTGTTTTTCAAATATATATTACTCGGAAATCGAATTATCATACTAAAAGACATGAAAGATGCATAATTAAATTATTTATTCTATTATCGATACTTTTTTTCTATCGATTTCTATTCGTTTATAAGAGAAAATAATACTACTTCATTTTGAGCTATTTGTAATCAGGATTATTGCCTACGAGCACTTGTTAGTTACTAATCTTTACTAGCGTCATAAAATACACACGACATTTCTCTTTAAATGTAAACAATCGAACATAATAATCCTTTTAAGGAAATTATAGCATATTTTAAGACTGGTCCACTATAAGTAAAGATAAGTATGTAGCTGCTGAAATTAGCTTTGAAAACCAAAATATTCGATAGAAAACTAAATGGATAATATCGGTTTCACAATAGAATGAAATAGAATTTATTTAATTGAAGAACATCGTTTATCTTACAAATAAATAAATATATTCATCATTTAAAACCATAATGGATTTGTAACAAAAGCTATTGAATCAGTTTAAGAGACTTAAACTCTAGCGTTTTTCATCGCATAGTTCAGATATAAATATCAGAAAGAAAAGAAAGTAAAATCCTACCATTTGAATAAATTTCAAAGAATCTTTTCTACACTACGATAGGTATTGACAGAATAAAATCTTAATAAACTTTTATTATTTCTTCTATATTTGTAAATTTCAAAGAAATACAATACATATTTTGTTAAACAAAAAGAAACATTATTTTATGTCTAAGCTATAATAACACGTTGTACAAGACCCACAGAACCTGGTGATGGTGCACCTAAATCGTCGAATATTGTAATTAAATTATTTTTTGGCATAAGCCAATCTGACGGAATATGATAATAACGTTGAGTTGGCTCTAAACAATTGATTTGTGCTTGTTGACAACAACATGGTGCTTTATCTTGGCAAATACCTTGAATTAACCAATAAAGACCAAGATCATTTCCATTAATAAATGCATGACCACGATTAAGACCTCGAGCATCAAGTAAAACAGGATTAGCATTAAGGTCTTCTCGTACAAGATGATCAAGATTAAATCTTGCTTGAAACCATGTTATTTGTTTATTAATACCTTTTGTCCATTGAGGATTCCATTCAACTCTTGATGATCCTTGTTCTGTATAAATTTGTAAAAATTCTCCAACTAAACCTTTTTGATGTTCCCAAAGATTTGCTTCATCATTAGCTAATAATTGATCATTAATCCATACATTTCCAACAATACCTTTATGTTCAAAATTATTTTCCGATACACCATTATTGAGACCAAGTGAAATTGAAAGAATTTCAAATGTATATTGTTGATTTGGTTTATAAGTTGAAAGATCTAATGCTACAGTTGCTGTTAATGAACCTTGATCATGATCATGATTATCAAATTCTCCTAAATAATCTCCATCTAAAAAGAATAATAAAGCATTTGCTCTTCGTGTTTCAACTTGAACAATTGTATGGGATTGTGTTTGTGTTAATGTTATATTACGACGATACCATAAATAAATAGTTTCATCATTTGTTATTTTTAATTGTTCAATTGGATTTGGAGAAGTAACTACGGGTAAATTTGATATAACTGGTTCTGACCATGTTTGCCAATCTAATGGACCAATAACAACAGGAAAAATTTCAGTATTATCACTTGGAATACCACTTACATTAGCACTATCCCATAATAAATTTAAATTATCATCAAATATACGAACAGATTGACTAGTCATAGAAATATTTTGATTATGGAAAAGTACTCCTAATGTTTTATCAGCTTGATTACAAACAAAATGAAGTGCTGGTGGATAAGAATAAACAAATTGTTGAGTACCATTTGACCATTTTGTTCCATCCCACCACGGTAATGGTGTACGAGTAGAATAATTTCTTAATAAAACTTCAGCATGATCGGCAATTAAATGTTGAAGACGACTTAATTGTGTATATTTAGGTTCATTTGGTGTACCATCAGCATGAAGAAGTACATCATCTGCATACATTGTTGTAATACCTGAAGCCGCTGTATTTCCGTAATTGTTGCCTCCATGCCACATATAATATGCATGATAAGAACCACCACCAGCAAACCATTCAGCAACTGAATAAGCAACATCAGATGTTGTACGAATAGCAACAGCTTGTCCCCATGGTTGAAACCAACCTTCATTTTCAGTAAATAACATTGGTTTATCTGGATAATCATGGCGATGATGATCAATCCAACCATCATCTAAACAATTACATGAATTACATGTTTCAATTGTTGAATTAGCTGCACGACCATTACACATAATCCATGGAATATCTGTAGAAGATAATTCATTTGTTACTAAACTACCACACCAATCAACATAAGCTTGATCATCACCATTATATTCATTTTCAATTTGAGCTAAAATAATAGGACCACCATTTTTTGCCAAATATGGATTAACATATTCAACAATGCTCATTACAAATTTACGCATAGCAGCTTCCCATGCTTGATTATGTGAACGAAATGATATATTAGGTACTTGATTAAGCCAAGAAGGTAAGCCGCCATAGTCCCATTCAGCACATACATATGGACCAATGCGTAAATTAACAAATAAACCAGCATCAGCAGCATCTTGTAAAAATTGACTTAAATTAGCACGACCACTAAAATCAAGTACACCTGGTCTTTGTTCATGTATATTCCAAAATACATAAGTTTGAACAGTATTCAAACCTTGATTTTTTGCCATTTTCATTATATAAGGCCACATACCAGGTGTTGAACGTGGATAATGAATAGCACCGGCTATAAGCATTGTTCGAACATCATTAATTGTGATAGCTCGATTATCATATGATACTTTATAAGGTGTACCTCGAACATCTTCATAAGTTATTGGACTTGTGAAGATATAAGTTAAGAAATTAAGACAAACGCATACGAAAAATAATAAATGCATCTTCATATTAAAATATATGTCTGAAGATAATATGTAATATAAATATATATATATATATATAGTTGATGGATATATTTATCTTCTTCACCAATATTTATTCTTATTTTAGATGGAGAGAAGAAAAAGAAAGTACAAACGATAACTATATGACTAATAGTAGTCTGAGGTTAAGAAAAGAGAAGAACGAAATAAAACAAGCTATTACTCGACCAAGGGTGAGTATATAACAATGGTTGGTAAGTAGACAAACAAGAAAAAAATTATACTAATGGGTCGTATATTGTTCTCTTTCGCTTTATGTTATCAAAATTTTATCTTTTTATCTCTCTCTATTTTTATCACATAGGATCTCAAGGCCGTGCTTACCCAAGACTCAATCAATTAAATGATTACTTTGTTTACAACACGAATATATTCGTTGAGTTATTTGAAACGTTTTACTCTATTCGCTGTAAAATAGACAAATAGTATTATAAAATAATCAAAGGAAGAAAAAGAGGAGTAGGCACAGTGATTTATCCAGCGGGAGGGGGGCACGGGGCTTTTTGCCCTCTCGGAGGGTACCTCTGCCCTCCGGAATTCAGTAAAATTACGCTTTTTGCGCCTGAAACTCAACGTTTGCGCTCACCACCACCAGAAGAGAGATTTTTGCCCTCCCGGCAATTAATTTCGCACCCTCGGACGAAAAAAGCTGGATAAAACACTGAGTAGGCAAGTTTGATTTGAAATGTATATCATATTATATTGCTACAATTTGATAATCAAAAACAAGCTGAATGATTCTATATCGATTTTAATAAATGATGTGATTTATTTTCTACATAATTTAGTTGTTTTTTTTATCAACACAACAAATTTAACGTCCTGTTTGTTCATTTTTATCATTAATGATATAATACAAAATGTAAACAAATAGTAAACAGAAATTCAACATAGTTAAGAAAAGTACTAGATTCAACTGATTTTTTTCAATTTAATATATATTTACAGATTATCATATAATGAACTATTTCATTATTTTATATAAGAAAAAACAAAAAAAAGAAAGAGTAGTAGAATTAAACAATATCTATTTATTTTTTTTATAATTCATGCATGCTTCATATGTGTTTTCAATAACAACCATAATTATCTGACAATTATTTATCATTAGAGAGAGAGAAAAAAAGAAATAACGAACGAAAGAGAGAAAGACAAACTGAGATAAGAAAATGAAAGAAACTCGATATTTAATCTTTTTTTATCGGTGAACAATCGGCATCGAAGAGAAATGATGATGTTAATATTGGAGATATAGTTTCTGGTTTGATAAGTCGATGAGACGGGCTTGATATACGATGATCATCCTATTTGATAATAAAAATCAAATTTATGTTTTTATTAGGACTAAAATTTACTTCTGTTTCACTATCACACCGAGGTGGTGATTTAGGTCTTTGTGTACTTGTAATATTATTTGAAACTTGTCCATATTGTTGATCATCATCTTCAGGAAGTAAGTTAACATCATCATCATCTTCATCTTCAAATAAACGTCGTTTAAGAAATGATACATTATTTTGTCCAACACTATTCGATAAACGAGATGAATGAGATGATTGATTTGTATTATTAAAACTTGTATCAAGTGATATGTTTTGTATTTCATTACATTGTTCCATCATACATGAATCAAAATCAACAGGTGGTCGATTTTGAGCTATAATTAAAAGAGAAATATTTGAATAATAGTCTCAACAACATAATGAATATGCATAGAAATAAAAACAAGATACACAATTGCATAAATATTGGTTACTTTCGATATAAGATGTTTCTATATTCAGAGATCACTAGAAAAACTGAAATAGTTAAAATTCCAATGCAAAGTACCCTTCAAAGTACGGCTACTTTTTGTTGAATTTAAATAAAAGAAAGGAAAAAATGGCACAATATAATGGATTCTGCTCTTCCTAATCTCCTTTGTTTTTCTTTTTGCTTTATCCTTCCCTTTTTCTCGCTTACACTGATTCTTCTTTTTCTGATTTATTTATATTTCTTTGCTTTTACTTCACCTTTTCTTCCCCTCCTAATGCTTCTATCTCTTTGTTTATATTTTATACTATATCTTTTTGTAAGTACTTCCAAATGGAACTAAGAGCATAATAAAAAAAAGGTATTTATCTGATTTTTACCTGCAATATAACGATTATACAAGTTATGAATAATTCCTCTACACTTTAGAAATGAAATTTATACGAAAATAGGATGGTTTTATATCCATACAGGTACAGTCAAGTCATTTAGTTCTAATTCATTGGACTCAAACGAATTGTTTCATTATCAGTAAAATGATATTTATCGAGAACGGCGAAAGGAAAAATGACTAATGAAAAAAAAATCGAAAGTATAAAGGTGGGAGCAAGGATAAATGATGCTAGATGAAAAATATAAAATATTTATTATATTTCATTGATAAAAAAAAGGAAAAATACACTTATTGATAAAGACAAGTAACTATAAGGGTATGAATGTGGATGATTGTGTGCGAAGGTGTAGAATCACTTCTTCTTTACTTACATCCATTCATTCTCTCATCTCAAAAGTTTCGACATACTATATAATTGACATTTTGCTCCTCCAATCCTTTTCGTTCGATGCTTATTTTAGACCTTTTTTTTCGACGTTTTTTCCTTCGACAATAGTCAGTACATTCGTAAATTTTGTAGCGTTCGAATAAATTATCTGTAATTACCGCGTTTTTCTAAATATACCTAACGTTGTGAAGACTTCATCGAATCCTTTTAGATATTCATGTTTACTGAATTCGTGATGATTATCATTTCTAATAGATAATTAAATCAAAATATCGAGAAATGTATCCATATACTTTGTTTTATAGAGATTTTTTTGCTAATTATCTTGTAAATCAAAAAAAAATTTTTGTTAGTAAATAAGTGCTCAAGTTATAATAGAACGGAACTATTCTAGTTGTGCAGAAATATAGCGTCTTACAATAATCGGACTATTACATTATCCGTTTATTGATGACAAGCGGATTTTTTTCTTATTAAGATTTATAAATAATTTTACGATTACTTTTTTTATATTTATGTGTTTTAAAAAATTTCTCAAAAACTTTCTAAAATATAATACATCACAAGTACAATATTACCCGATATAGTAAATACTGCTGTAGAATATTGAAATCATAATTATTTTATTTTCTTTAACCCTAACTGAATGTTGCGATCGATGTCTATATTGACAGTAATTGAGAGTTTTTGAATATATGAGAGCAGGAACGATCAGAATAAAAATATTAGATGTTTAATATTTTTTAAATCATCTAATTGGTTTTCTGTACATTCCAGCTGATGCACTTAAAATTCTTCAACTCTCTTGTTGTCTCAATTATATTAGTTTTATAACGAATCTGGTAATACATTATTACAAATTTATCATAAAATATGAATAATTTACGTTGTAATTCTAGATAAACATGAGAAAAAATGTTGTTCTCCAAATTATAATTATGTAATGAAGAGTAGAATACATCATTACACACGAGTAACTGGAATTAATTTATGCGAACGTTGATCCGATATGTATCATTTACAAGTAAGATTACACACGGAGATTTTATTCGCCAAACAGAAATTCTGTTTATTACTATACAAAACTTACTATCTCGTTGAAATAGTGATGCTGTTGTTGTTTTAATATCGAAATGAGGAAATGGCGATGTCATTGGATGTAGTGTTGATGTTCCACAATAATATCCTTCAATGAAGTATCGAACATACGAACATTGAATTTCAAAGCTAATAAGCATATGTACTAACCATATCCGTCGGTTGTTAAACCTTTTTCTTGTTGATTATTAGGTGGAGCTGGTGTTGGTAAGTGAAGTTTACTTGAACAAAACTCATTTGCAGCTCGTTGATAACGTTGCATTAAATTCTCATCACTAAACAAAAGATAAAACCGACACAATCATTGATTATTTTTACTTACAATAGAGCAGCATCAATTTGGATACGATTTTCATCTGAAAACTTTTTCGGATGTATCTCTGATAATTGTTCAATGGACCAATCGAAAACAGAAGTTATTGTACTTGTCTATATAGATGTTATAAATCAAAAAAATAAATAAATGGGTGATTTTTATATTACTTTATCAGTATCTTCAGACTGTGAAAGTACACGAAATATACTTGGACTAGCAAGACGTTGTTTAAGATGAGCTGATGTTGGTGGATCAAATGGATTATGTACAATACGAAATAATGGTGGAGTTTGATAAAAATGATAATCTTGTGACACAGTCATCTTAGTTATGGGTGAGGGATAATTGTCTGGTGTTGGTCGACATGGAAAATAATTATGTTCATCAAGATCCATTGGACGAGCTGGACTAGACATCATGTCAACCATTAATAAATCTATGTGACAAAAAAAAAAGACTGGACAAATTAAATATACAACCAATGAATTTATAATATATAATGTGATGGAATACAATTAGAGAATCGCAGTAAGAACGTATCAATCGAATCCGAAAAAAGAGAGTTTATATTGACATTGATGGTTTCTACAAATCAATGTTTTAAAATTAAAAACATCTCAGCTTCTCTTCGGTTCTTATATGGTTGGTTAAATCAATGATTTAGACATACATATAAACTATATTCTCTAGCAGAGTATGAAAGATTTTTAAACGAGTCTGAGTAACAATTTTGGAAGGGTAGATGACATCAATCTTTTTTCCTGACTTGAATATATTACTATAGATAATCAAGCTGATTCTAATCATTCATAACTATCTCATAGTGGAATAAGAAATGCATTTAGAGTTCTTTGTAGTATTAGTTGATATGAAATTATATGAGAATAGATATAATCTAGAGAAGTTTTTTTTCAAAAATATTCTCGTATCTTTGAAAGATAAGAATATATAAATCGATTTACATGTTAAACTGACGAATATTTTCGTTTTTCGATTATTGAAAAGTTTATATCTAGTAATCTTCGAATAAATAATTAATTTATTCTAAAATAGAATGTTTAAATTTGCGTTTATATAAAAAAAAGAAAAGACCAAACGAATTACATGAGATAAGAAAAGAAAGCGACTTTGATATCAACCAATCAAATTTCTTCTTCCATCCTCTCTTCTGAATTATAATAATTATAATTGAATATATTATTCTAGAAAATTTTAAACTCTTTATTTTTCTATAAATTTCTATATTTTTTCTGAATTTATTTTTCTTAATATTATAATAAATATAAGCAGAGAAAGTCAATAAACAAATTGGCAAGAAATGAAAACACCCGATTCTTTGACTCATTCTTTTTTATTAGTATTTGTTGTTTCTCTGTCATTTGTGATTCGTTAGACAAATGTATTTCTTTATTTAAATTTCTTTCCTATTATTTTTACATAAATATCATCTAATCTATAGTTTAAACTTGAAAGCATGACGTTATACTATTCCAACTTATCATCATCGTTACTTGTATGCAATAGAATAGTACACAATATATCTAGTTTTTTTTTCGAAACACCTTCTATATATTATTCAAATATAAATGCGTTCTATTATATCATCATCATCACATTGGTATCACTTTTTTTTTTCTTCTACTCGTCGTTCGAAATTAGCCCCTAAAGTAAAAAGTTGTTGACGAATATCCAGCGGCAAAAAAAAAAGAGATTGATAAGGGCGACGAAGTTTCGGCCTTTTTTTAATGGCTGACTGTGATATTTATCTTTTGTCATCAAAAACTCGAAGAGAAGAAAGAGAGAAGATGCATACTTTGTGTAGGTCGAACGAAATGCATACGTAGTTTCTTTTTCTCGTTTTTTAAAGACATAGTTAAAACATACGATGCGAAGAAAAGATTTAATTATTTATTTATTTCTAGATCTTTAATAGTTCTATTCCTTACACTCAAGTCGTAAAATTTCATAATAGTTCTATTCTAATAAAAATGTCTGGAGTAACAGAAAAATGCCCTGCTTATTCACCTTTTTTCGGCGCTATGGGCGCAACTGCAGCTGTTGTATTTAGTGGTATGTCTATTATTTAATTATTGATTTATTTTTTCAATTAATTTTTCTATTATTTTATTTAATAGCATTAGGTGCCGCTTATGGTACAGCTAAATCTGGTTGTGGTATATCAGCTATGGCTGTTATGAGACCTGAATTCATTATGAAAAGTGTCATTCCCGTTGTCATGGCTGGTATTATTGCCATTTATGGTTTGGTCGTTGCTGTACTTATTGCCAATAACATCACTGCTGATAACTATGGTCTATACAAGTGAGATTGTTTATTGATGAATGTATTTGTTTTTATTTGAATAATAAATATTTATAGGGCATTCCTTCAATTGGGTGCTGGTTTATCCGTAGGTTTAAGTGGTCTAGCAGCTGGTTTTGCTGTTGGTATTGTCGGTGATGCTGGTGTACGAGGAACTGCTCAACAACCACGGTAAAAAATTCTTCTTAACAAAATATCTTCTATTATCTTTTATTTAGATTATATGTTGGTATGATTTTAATTTTGATCTTCGCTGAAGTACTTGGTCTTTATGGTTTGATCGTAGCACTTATCATGACAACGAAAAATCAACCTAGTTGCGATTAATCAAGTTTTCATACATATATAGCCGCGCATATTCCTTCGTCTCACATTTGATTTGTTCTGTTTGTCTGTGTATTCTCTTTAACTTTTTTGTTGTTGTACGTCTTGTCTTGAACATTTATTCTATTGTCATGTATTCGTTATCTTTTCTTTTAAATGTTCACGTGCGCGTAAGAATATTTTTGCAAACTATATAAAGACAATGATTCCATTTTTAAAAAAAATATATATATATATTTATCCCTTTTTATTTTGTATGATACCGAAACACGCACGAAACAAACGTGCAGTTGATTTTTACTGGTGTTGTATTCACATTTAGTTTGATTTCTCGTTTGTTTTTTCGTTATTTTCACTTCTCATCGGTGTATCAAACATAAATCAGTCAATATGGTGATTGTTTTCCATCATTCCTTTGTTCAGTGTTCTATTGTAAAAGAAAACATACAAACCACACATCTAAGTGTACCCATACCATTTTTCTTCATTATTTATTAAATTATACGAACAAAATTTTAGTAATCACCAACACATTCTAAATAAACCTATAAACAACGCAATATTTGATTCAACAAATCGATCACGAATAATAAAATATACTGCAGATTTAATTATCGATTTGTTTATAGAATTAGCTAACACTATATTTATATTGTAGGATAAAATAACCCTACACAACGTAGATTTATAAGAGGTTACTAAATCGTCAAAAAATAGCGAACTTTATTGACCTATTAGTCTTTAAATAAGCGTTAAAAACATCTGGTGCAATATAGATATTATCAGTATTCGATTTCAAACTTGTTTATGTTACCATTAAACGCAGAACGTAGGTTAACATGAAACTAAATAATCGAACAAAATCTTTTTACTATATTAAAATAAAAAGATTAGTTCGATTCGCATAATCAATAAGAATATTTTGTAGAACTTAAAATTCTTTATTTAATCATATAAAAAAATTAAAGGTTTCCTTTTATTTTACATTTTAAATAAAAATTGTCAAAATAACGTATGATCTTATCGAACAACGTCATTCTTTTACTTTCTTTTGTTTAATCTCTTTTGAAAAGAAAAAAAAAGCATACTTATCATGATCAATACAAGTTATTAGATGACACATTGGAAAATTTCATCTTTTTTATGAGTCATACGATGCTTTTACATCAGTTCTATAAAAGTCAGCAATTGATTATATAATTTTTCAACGAATGTTTCTCCAAAATAGAATATTTATGTTGACCTGAATAATACGGAGCATAATGATTATCTGCAATATAACTTTAAAAAAACAGCCTTTCAAAAATCTGACAATTTAAACTATCTGTTTTGTTAATTCAAGCAGAAGATCGATTCCTTGTAAGATACTTTTCTACCGCTTTAGATATAAATAACTCGAGATTTTTATGGAATCATTGACTATACTATTAGCTAATAATTCTCTTCAAAGGTTGGAAATATTTAAAAGTTCTTGCACAACTTTTATGACACAGTATATCAAATATACAGTGTAAATTTAACCTTTATATGTACTAGCAGAGTAATTTATCGAATGTATGTACTATTTTTTGAGTGCTCATATTTTAATATATCTTTGTGTCACGTGAGAAAATAAACTATTTATACATTTTTTTTCCCGATTTCTATTTTAATGCGTGTATCCATTGGGCAGAAAATGTTATACGCCTTTAATATTTTTGTTAATGAAACTATGGAATTTTAAGAAGCCAACAAAAAAAAGTCAATTAAACAGAACGAAGAAAAAAAGTCGAAGAAAAGCTCGTGTTGGTTGTATGATTGCTTCATTGTTTGCATTTTTATTTGTGTTTCATGTCTCGTGAAAGTATTTCTGTATCATCTAATCGAAGCAAACAATCTGTACCATCAAATTATAGTCGAACACTTAAACCATTAGAACATGTACCATCTCTACCTGATCAAATATTTGCTCAATTACGTAAATTTCGTATTGTTGGAAAATCAATTAATGCACGAAATATTGATGAACTTTATCCTGGTTTAGATGATTTACTTGTTCGATGTTTAAGAACAGGTGATTATCGACAATTACACAGTCGTTTCAATCGAAATTTAAAACCAGAATATATATTAATAACTGGCAAACATATACATATTAGTGTATGTTCACGAACACAAGATATACTTGAAAAACTGGTAGAGATGGGAGCAACAATTGGTAAGTATTTTAATTTATTTGAAAAAAATGTTTTGAAATAAGAAGAAGAGAATAAGATTGCCGATTATTTCGTGAGCAAAAGGATTTAAAACGTCAGCCAAGACTAGATTCTTCATTTATGATACATAATATTGTAACAATAATTTCAGTTCTATTATCATATTTTGAACGGAAATTCCATTAAATTTATTTCTTACAATAGAGCTGCAGGCATATTCATTAAACTAATAAATAGTAAATTCATAGAATCAAAATTAGAAAAATGATTTCAGTATATTTAAATTTGTATTTTATATTAGATCTTCATTTTTATGAACCAATTCATATCGAAGAATTAGAATTAATGTGCAAATATGGTTTTGATATAAATGAACGTTTACTAAAATATAATAATCAAACACCACTTTCATTATTTATAACTAAAAATTATTCTATTCCAATGCTTAATGTCTTAATCAAAAATGGTGCACGATTTGATTCACAAGATAATAATGGTCAAACATGTCTTCATACTGCATGCCAATCATCAGTAACCGATGCAGTTTTTGAATTTATCATTAATAATTCACCTGATTCATGTTTAAATATTCGAAATAATTTAGGTAGTACACCACTTGATCTAGCATATTTATCAACATATGAACAAGCAAGTTTATCACGAATGCGTCGTTTACATTTATTATTATCACGTAAAGAAGGTAAATTAACACGTTATGGTATGCGTGAACCAAATTTACTTTCAACAAAACAATATAAATTATTTAATATTATAGCATGTAAAGAATTTTTATTTAAATATCGTCTTAGAGATATATTTGATCCATCTATGCGTTCATTAACATGGTGTATATTTTTATTTTATGATGTTTTACGAGCATGTGAACAACCAAATACAAGTTTAACACAACAAAAAATTCAACAACGTCTTGATTGTTATTTAATATCAATGATTGAAAATGGTGAAATATCATTAGATAGATTAATATTTCGTTCGAATGCTCATCTTGATAATCCATTGAACTCAGAAAATTTTTCTTTATTAAATGAATCTGAACAACAAATTTTAATAGAAAAACAAAATTCATTTACACATATGGCACAAATGAAAAGTAGATTAAGTGATATACGTATGCAAACACTTACTTTAAAAGTTTTATGCCGAATTAAAATTAAAAATGAAATTCGAACATATCCAAATGATATCGTTAAATTAGATTCATTATCAAAAATACATCAAGCTTATTTAACGTATTATAATCCATTTATTAAAACTGATGTCACAGATTAAATTAAATACTTTTCTCTTAAACACGTAATGTTATTCGATGTGACAATAGTAGTTTTTTTCTTGATAAAATATATGATCACTTTTCAATTGATGAAATTTCTTATGATAAAAATATAAAATAATTGAAAATGTTGCATAAACGAAGATTTGTTTTTTTTTGAATAATGATGTTTATTAAATATAGCACAAGGAGTTAATAATGATATTAGATAAATCGTGCTTTTATGTTACTTGAAATTAAAAAAGATACAACGTATCGTATATTTAATATATCAAGCTTTTCTGAAATATGATTGTATTACAATTGAAAACTTAAACCTATTTACTGTTAGAATACTGTATAAAATGCAGTTTGTTCAATTTTATGGATTTTACAAAATCATATAGAGATTAAAAGATACCGAGAAAGTGTTTTATATACAGCATGAGGACAACTTCAGTGCTTACATTAGGATAGAAGTTGCATGTCAAACTAGCTTATCGAATAGTATTTCTATTCTAAAGACGAAGGAAATTGAGAAAACCTTTTTTGCAGTTGGAAAAATATTGTAATTTTTCATGTTGTTAACAAGTTAGAAAAGACTTCTAGGATCATTTTCGAATAGTTTCTCATCGGAATTCCCATGTGCAAAAATTGGCATGATACATTGTCAGTATTTCCATTAAAAAGTATAGACAGACGTAAAAAGAAATTTTGTTCATTGTTCGAGGTGTGATACTTCAATGAATTAATTTAGGATTCTGAAGCATTTTTTCTTAAGATGTTTTATGTTATATAAAATTTAATTATAAAATTTTTAGACATCTTCTTGTCAATCATAATATTTAGAACTAATCTAAGATTTCCAGCAACGGACGAACATACATCTTCAATCGTAACCATTCGATATGTTCAAGTTAGAATTTGTTTTCTTAATTTGTCTTCTTCAGTCATATTACATAATCAGAGGTATCTCAAGGTCCGAAAAATGGAGAAGGGAGGCGAGTAATAGATTTTATAAAATTTCCAGAGATTTATAACTCGTCAGTCTCCAATCTAGACAGTACTGCATGTAACACGATGATTAAATTACAAAAAATTCCTATATTTTTCGATTTCAGTCAAAATCCTATGTATTATATCAAATGTTAAATTATTTGAATCATCAATATGCAATAAAACGCGTTAATGAAAGCTCAGTTGAATGAAGATGTAGAAGTAGAACATGCAGAAGCACATTAAGTTTGTCATTTGATAATACATGTATTCGTCATAAGCCAGGTGGACACAGGGAACATAACACAGCTTCATTATCAAGTAAAATTATTATTGAAGAAACCAAATAAATAGTGAAGAAGCAGTAGCTACACAAATGAGAAATCATTGAGTATCGAGCAGATTTTCTTTTCTTTCTCTTTGCTCAATTGATTCATCTCTCTATAGTAATCGATTCCAAACTATCCAACGTTATCAAAAACTTCAGATGATTTTATCTTACTAGTGAATAAAGTTTAACAAAACGTGGTGAACGAATTTTGATATTTGATTTAAATTGAAGTAGTACAGTTTTGGCTACTTGCTCAAGGTGGTACGCAGATGAGACTTTTCAAACATGACCCGTGTTAGTTGCTCAGATTTATATGATTTTAGATCTTTTAATGGGCTTCTAACTCCTTATTTCTATTATTTAGCATCTAGACAAGATTCATTAACATACGAGAAGGTAGTAAAAGATCTTTTATTCATTGGATTATCTACTCTCAACATTAAGTATTTTCCAGAAACTCTAATGTGTGATTTTTAATTGAACAGTATTAATAGCACTATTTTATTATTTCTAAATATTAAAATTAATGCCAGTTTCTTCCATTATTCACAAAATTTAGGGAAAAAAATACGAGTCCTAGAACTTAATAAACTTATTTCCTGACGAAAAAAGACATTCAAAAATCGAAACAGTGGTTTTCAGCAGGTCTATGGACAGGCATAATAAATAATTATATTCCTGAAACTCCATCAACACAGCTATTTAATGATTATATACGGTTGGTAATTATGTTTGTCAGCAGTCGTCTAGATATTAAATTGAACTCTGGAATGTTTATGATAATGTTCCAGAAAAAACTTCCACATAGAAACAATACAGTGGGAGCATACAATTATCGAATGTCAACTATCTTTCTTCGTCATCCTCACATTCATGAATTTGTTCGTCAGTTAAAGAATAAACATGAATACCAACATTATAAACCAGAAAAGACTCCATTGTACGTTAAACAACGAAAAACTATTTCAATTAGTTAATCAATATGAAAATGGAGACTTAACTTCAATTGAACTCGCTATCAAATTAGGTAAAGCGGTTAAGATTAAAAAATAAAAATAGTAAAGTTCTTATATTAATTAATCGGTAATAAATAACCTCACCTTATCGAAACAAACCAGATTATTAATATAAATTCGAAAGTAGCTGTCAATATATTTATTGCGAATATGAAAGAAAAAAGCTTTTGTTCATATATATATACACGGTTATTTATTTGAGATAAGATAGATTATAAAAATGAATAAAACTTTTTCGTTTGATCCTAATTTTGTTCATCGCTATGATGACTAGGTGGTCGTCTAGTTTGCACAAGTGTTGGTTTAATTAATTTTTCGCGAAGAGCCTTGCTTCTTTCATCCGTATTAATATAATCATCGCATGTATGAATAACAATCGATGGAGCATTCGAACCATATTCACGTGAGTGTAATTCATGAGATTGATCTATAATACAAGATTGATTTATATTAATAAAATCTAAAATGATTTACTTGGTTCTAATTGTGCAATAGCAGCAAGTAAGTTGAGATCAACAATAGGTGGATCTTCAACTTTTTGTTCCCAGCCAACTGGTGGACTAGCTGGTGGAGATATAAGAAATAGTTTTTCAGGTTCAGGTGGACATAAATATGTACCAGGATTTGATCCACGAAAAATAATCGGCTTTAATAAATAAATAGAAAAATTCTGTTTTTTTATATATATATAATAATAAAATAAATTATTTACACAGGCAAAATATGTTTTTATTCTTGTACCATAGAATAGATGCTCATGAAGATGTAATCGAGCTTGTAATGCATTATGTGATGATGTAAATGTTATTCGTACACGTTGAAAAAATTTTAAATAAAGTATAGTTATTTGAGAATCATAAACACGAAATAATTGTTCAAATTCATCCTTTTTTAAAGATAAATAATACATAATTAGCTAAAGAGAAGGAATTGTGTCTTACTTTCATTTGTTGATTAGTAAATAATTCTTGAGGAACTGGAGTGATAATAAGACTACTAGGTAATGATGATATATCAATATCATCATTTGTATCATCTATTTGATCATGTTCATTATTATTATTATCATTATTATTATTATCATCATCACCGAGAGCATCTAAATCATCACTTATATAATTAATAAAATATTTTGATGCATCTTCATCATCTAATTGAACTGATTTAAGACCATGAGTTATTTGATCAAGCTTTATACAAAAAAAAATAAATAAAATAATTATTCTATATATAATAAACTTACATTATGATCTGTCATGGTTATGATTATTGAGATCGATATATGTATTTGTGATTTGATTTTTTGATTATTAAAAGAAACAGATTCGTTGACTAATGGTAAAATCAAGTAGAATAGAAGCACCAATTATTATCTATTTTAAAGCGACATCTGATATGATCCTACGCATATTCTACGATTCAATCATTTCTTATAAACATAGAAATATTTGAGAGCGAGAATATACGATATGAAAATATTTATCATAAATTGCTTGTGTTTATAAGATCAATGTTTTTTTCCAATTAGAAAATTCTATTATAAGAAAAAAATTACTGTATTTGATTGAAACAAGTTTTATTGAATTTATACTTTAAAAATATATTATTTGTATGAATAATATTGGTTTCATCAAAGAAAAGTTTTGTGAATAAGTACCAGAAAAAAAACTTATTATATTTAGATTTGATTCATATTTTGATGACGTCATACGTATTTACACGTATATAGAGACGAGTACGCCCATAGAATGATTGAATATATATTGTTTTGATAAAAACATATGCTTGTATGTTAGATATGTCAAAATACTAAGAAAATATAACTTGCTCCATCTAGTGTTTCTAATATTAAATAAGGAGCTACAATCGAAATAAAATATGCAAAGTTAATATTAACATCGTTGTACGTCACTGTTATGTCAATAAAAGAGAAATAGATAGGTGTGTTATAATTAAATTTGAAGTGCTTTAGAATTTTCATTGTCACATAATACTTCTTTTATTATTCACTAGATTATAAAATCAATACTTTATATATTCGGATCATTATTAGTTTATGTCTAGAAGGCTTGTTGACAATATCTTTACTTGTCCTATAATAATCAAGTTTTTTTCATGAAAAATATATTATTTATTATATTGTTATGCTCTTCACTTCATCTGTCTGATTATCACTGACATACTACATTCATATAAACATAAATGAAATGTTTTTAAAAATGCAATATTACTAGCTGTTGTTTTTCTATATGTTACATGCTGTGCTTCCTTCGCATTCTAATGTTAATGATTGATATTTAATATAAATGACGTATTGCAATCGACAAAGAAAGACTCTTGGAGATACTATACTGACTCGATACTGTGTAGGTATCAATCATAGGTTTAGTAAGTACTTCGTACTTCAATCTTCATAAATACAGAAAACAATACGATGTATTTTTCACATTCTTGATTAGCGATTCAGTTTAGATGATGGTAAATATAAAGTAAAATACTTTACAAATTTTTTACTTTTAACCGTTTAAATATTAGAAATATAATTATAATTGAATATGAAAAAGTATACTTAGTTATGATTATTATTATTTCATATTTTTCCATCATCAAAATGCTAGAAAATATAATTTATTATACATTAACTTGCGCGATACACGCTGATCAAAAATATTTGATCTAAGTATCATCTCTTCTGATATGATATTCATAGATTCACTTACATCTAATTGTCAATGGAACTTATGGATATCCTACAATCCGAATTTTCGTTTATCATAAATTAGAATAGACAATACTTTCCATATGTATACAAGTAACGGTCGTCCGAGGACTCGCTTAGCTCTTTCTCGTAGAAATGCATCCTCTTCAAATTTACTGAAAAAACAATTGAAAACAAGTTTCCGATGTTTTTTTGACCCTGCGGGACAGACAAGAAATCAGATAATTTATGTTTACTGGACTCTTCTCTACGAGAAAGAGAACTATGTTAATAATGAAATGAATGAAGTTTTCATAAATCAAAAAATACCGTTTTTTTTATACCAGTTTTTCTTTCCAAGAATGTCTAACTACCTGTCCTATTCTGTTGTAAATACACATTACTATTTTGAACGTTGTTTATTCATCTCTATAAAATACATTGAGACAATTTCTTCTATAAATAATTATTCAATTATTTGTTATAGAAATGCATTCATGTATTAAAATCGTTTTTTATTATCATCAAATTTATTTAGCATAAAAAAACAAGTTTTATTTGCAAGAATAAGAAAGAAAAGTAACATGTTAAATAAAAGTTCGTGATTAAAAAGATTTTTATTATCAAGCATCTACATTTTGCACGATTATATTATATTAAAAATTTTTATAATTTACAAAATAACTTATAATAAAAGAATCACAGATGTAAGTTAAGGAGTAAAAAAAGAAAGATAGTTTAATCTAAACATGTTTAATAAATAGATGAAATTTCGATTAAAATGGAAGAAAGAAAAAGAGATTGTTTGTTTGTTTTTAAATTTAATTTATTGACCTGGTGATCGAATATATGATGGTTGTGGCATAGTTGGTGAACCCATATCGGAATATGTATGTGGTTGAGGTTGTGGTTGTTGTGGTAAAGTACGACCTTTGAAAAATCTTGTTTCTTTAAAAATAAACCAAGTACTACCAGCCCATAGTATGAAATTTAAATAACCGAAAATAACTGATACAATTATATTTGCATAATTACCAGCTAAAATAAAATATGTATAATAATATTTAAAATTAAAAGAGTATTAATAACTTACAAACTGAATATGAACATGGTGTTGTTTGACAAAGACCAGAACGTTGTCGAATATTTTCCCAGGCAGTCTGTGTACGAATACTCGTTACAGCTTGTGCCCATGCTGAACTTCCAGCAATCCAAAAAATAGTCCATATCATTGTTATAGTAAAATCAATAACAGGATAAAGATCTTTATTAATATATTGCTCATGCATAAAAACATAAAGAAATATAAATGCAAGTGATAATATCAATGATGTACTGCCAGTAAATACAAAGAATTCAGCAGCTGATTCTGGATCATTTCCGGTAGATATTGAACTTAAAACAGCGCGGTCAGATGTTCTTATTACTGCAGTGTTCGCTAATTTATAAGGATATGACCAAGTTGTTGTTACTGCATTTGTTACACCGCCAACGTTAAGTGCCACTGAAGAACGACCATTACATGCTGTTGCAATAGCAAGTATGGCGAATATAACTTGAAAGACACGAATTAACCCACGAGGTTCTAAAATTAAATAAGACAGTTATTTTTGAACTTCTAGTTTCATATGATTAATAAAAATAGATCTTTGCATTCTTTTCTTTTGCAAGAAATTATATTATAGATTCTTCCTATGTCGAAGAAAAGACATATTTCAATCTGTTTTTGTGAAAATCCTCAATAATTAATTTGTACTACATTAGATAAACACCAACGAACGAACTAAAATAACAAAACATGATATTAACATCTCATATCGCCAATTGTATTTTGTCAATCCTTACTGATAAGGTAAAATTCAAGGTAAACATGATTCTATTATTAGTTTCATCCTTACATGACTCATAATCCTAACCTTTCTGTTTTACTCAAACATAAGAATACTTTGTACTATTATACACACATAGATATTTACATAAACATCAAACAACAATCGTAAATCTATAATTATGTTATTACATTAAATATTTTTTATAAGTAGAATATAACCAACCTTTAAATATTCCTAGATGATTTGACATTCCAGCAAACTTGGATTGAACAGCTTCCATTTAAATGATAATTTTGAATAATCAGCTATCTAAATAAAGAGAAAGTAAAAACTTGCTATAAACATTTCTTCTTTATCTTTTTGTTATCAACAGATTACTCAAATGATCGTCCTTATAATTTTAGTTTGTTTGTATTACGTATATTATACCTTCATACTGATTGTTCTTGATGTCAATGTTATTCTCTTTAAAAGCGAATAAAAACTATCAAGTACATTTCTATTCTTCTGTGAGTCAGTTAAGTAATCAACAGTTTTCATCTTCCTCGTCTAAGTTAAATATTTACTCATGGCATTGATCATAAAAAACGAAAATAGTAAAAAAAACATAGAAGACGAAAAAAAAGAGGCTACTACTTCATCATATATCTATCGACTCAATCGGAGAAAAGAAAAAAAGGAGAATGATCGAATAGTAAGGTAGATAGGAAAAAAAAGTAACGAAGAAAAGGTTATATTTTATTGTCGAGAAGAAATTCAAATATTGCAAGCTATATGTATAAACGAAACTTGTTTGATGATTGATCGATAGTTAACGCTATTTTGTTTTTTTCATGTAATAACGAATGAATGAAAAGAGAAAATGTTTTTTTTTTGCTAATAGTACAATATCATATAATTAGACAGGTAATAGAGAAATTATGTGACTCATTAAAGCAGATGGTTTTGTTTACATAGACCGAGACTATTCATAAAAATGAGTCATGGTAAAAAGAAATCTATTCAGAGTATTAAAAAATTTGGTTTTCAGAAAAAAAACTTTCTATTGAAAAATGATACGTTAATAAGATTGGTGTCCTCTCGATAATTTGCAAAGTATAAATATTGATGTTTTAATTTAATGATAAAATGCGTGTCTAAGTATAAAGATAAAACAATTATCTAGAAATATCATTCAATCTATAGAACGTAATCTAAAAGATCATCATCCAATTGTATATATAAAATTTATTTTAATGTTCTTACATATATTTATTATTATATTAAAATAAACGCTTAGTTTTATCTGAACTACATCATGTTCATGATAAACATCATATATTAAACGACATAAAAGGTAAACTACTATATTATACTATCAATCATATGATTCAACGTTAATGTATCGAATAAAAACCATTAAGAAGTGACATGTAGAAGAACAAAAGAAGTTGGATGATGATATCTTGATATTTGATTTTTATCAGTATTAGAATTACTTATACACATTTATCGATGACTTTATTATACGAATAAAGTTTATGCTATTTCCAAATTCTTGTGAATTACTTTATTAAAATAATTTTGAATACTAAATCTGTCTCTGAAATAAAAAGATGGAATAAAACAAGCTCTACAAAATGAGTTTCGATGTATGATTCGGAAAAAATAAAAATCAATCGTTTAGTTTTTAAAATTGCAAAAAGAAAATAATAGACTGAGAATGGTCTGAGTACTCAAATTTCTTATAGAATCGATGAAACATTTCTCAAGAGTTCATAAAATTTTTTATAGGTTTTGTACGCATTCAAATGATTGAAAAAGAATTTTGAATTCGCAGCTAAATTCGAAACTCTTCTTTTCACTGTAAAGACAATATGTCTGACCTCTAAGAGTAATATGAGAATGCATTTCAGATTATTTTACAAATGAATTGCGTACTCAGACCGTTCTCAGTCTATTATTTTCTTTTTACAATTCTAAAAACTGGATGGTTGATTTTTGATTTTTTCTGAAATATATTTCGAAACTCATATTGTAGAACTTGTTTTATTCCATCTTTTCATTTTCAAGCATGTTTATTGATGAAGAAAAATTTTGGGCAAGTTTTTAAGAAAGTCTTTGAAAATTTCCTGAAGTCTTCCGAAAAAATTCCAATAATTTATAGAAATTTTGCAAAAGTTTTTGAAAGATCATTAAAAACTCACAAAAGTCTTCAAAAGTTTTCAATAAATCTCTAATTTTTTTTAAAATTTCGATAGTTTACAGAAGTTTCTGAAAAATTTTTCGATCCCCCCTCCCTTCCAATCTTTAACACTTCGCGACAGCCCTGACCACCTAACATATTCTTACACGAAGAAGTAAATTAAGTGTGCTTCTTGGGGTCTAACTATTTCTGTTAACTCTATTAATAAAAGAATTTCGAGTGATGGAGTCAACATAATTGAATTTTCAAGTAGAATCAGCGTATTAAAAGATCTTATATTTAAAAAAAATTCGTAATTGGAGGCCAGAATACATTTAGTTGTGTATAGTTTCTATAATAACACATAGAGTTTTTTTTCCTCCTGTTGATAACGACAATGTTCTGTTTGAATAATCAACTGTTTCTATTAACTGCAAAGGGTTTTTACAAATGAAAATCTAAAATAAACTTTTTGAGAAAAACAATGCATTGAAACTATATAATTATATCTATGAATAATACTTGTTTATTTTCGTTGATACTTGGACACTATGATCATGTATTTTCTACGAATGATATTTCTATTCATTATTTCTCAGATAATTATACACAGAAAAATGTAACAATTGATAATTCATCTAAATCTTTCTATGATTATATATTTTTAATCTGAATGTCGATCTAATATAATAGATTATGAATTCGTTGTTGAGTGATATTCTTTGATTTTAGATCCGTATTTCCTAAATGTTGTATTTCTATCTTCCTTCGTCTTTTTTTCTGTTTTTACAAGTGATAAACCAAGCATAGTATAAGAGAAGAAAACAGAATCGTCACCAACGTAATAATATGTTGTAGAGAAAATATATTTATTATATTTTTCTTCCATTTTGTTCAAAAGAATCTTGAAAGAGGTAAGCTTTTCATAACTACGATAAAACGATTAATCATTTTAATGACATTAAGTAACAGTGAAACTATTAAATACTGCGATATTTCGATCATCATTACTTCGAGATAATATATAAATATAGATCTCCACTTCTTTTTTTTCTTACTCTTAATGTTAAATATTTATTTAAAGGAATTTATGTTATTCCTAGATTATATTTTATTTAGTTAAAATAATTATTAGTCTTCACGAATCAGATAATAATACCAGTAGTATTATAAAACAAATGACATTTTTGATGTAATTCATTTTTATTAATTAAAATACAAATTTCTATCAAAATCTTTAAATAGAATTGATTATAAATTAAAACTACGAAATGAGTTTGATGCAAATTATTATTTTAATCACTGAAAATCAAATACATCAAAAATAATATCCGTTTCATCATATTTTTTTATTTTATTTTATAAGTAATAATATGCAGATGTTTAGAAATATAATTTATTTTGAAGAAATAAATCTGTTAAATCAAATTTAAAAAAATATATGAAATACATACACTTCCAATAATATTTATTGATTTTTAATCATATGTGAACATTTTATAACTAATTAAATAGAGAAAAAAAATATTTCCTCGAGTCTCTTTTTTGAAAAATATCGATTAACATGTAGAAGTTCAATCAAATATTAGTTATTGAATGGGAAATGATTACCCTCTCTTAAATAAATAGGATATAAAAAAAACAATCTTTCTTGTTACATAAGTGGATTTCACAATATGAAAGTTGCTTAGAGAATAAAATACAACAAACAAACATTTTCCTTTTCAATATTATTAAAAAATATTAAACAAAAACCTATTAATAGAATGTTGTTTTAAATGCATTTTCCTTAACCTTTTGACGATAATGAAAAAGGAGAATAAACTAGATTTTTTTTAAATTAAATAAAATAACTTCAATATATTTTCGGGTAAAAAATAGATTCTTTCAGATTAATATATTGTTGACATTTATAAATACAATACAGATAAGATAAAATATAACAATCAGTTTTTCAAAAAGTTACTATTCATCTCTTATGTCAAACTATGAAATTAATTATCATTGAGAAATTTCAAAAATCTTTTTTTTTTAGTTCACTATAGAGACAAAAATATTTATAATAGAAAATTAAATTCGTAAATTTGTATTTTATTTATTTTGTAGTATTTTATTATTAAAGAAAAGATCACTATTATTCAAATCATGATATTTTACTATTAATTGTATTGTGTAAGATTTTATTTTAGATAAATAATATGAAATTATTTAACTTCTTCAATATTTGGTTATTATCGCTATTTATTGGGCAAACATCAGGTATGCATTTTGTTAACATTGTTAATGTATTTAATGTAAAAATAAGATATTTAATTTCATGCAACAATTTTTCTTTCGAAATAAATATCTATGAGAGCATTATGAATAAACTGATTGAATGTAGAATGTCTATCGTTAGGTTTAAAATCATTCTTATTATTTTATTTAGGTATTTCCTACAATCAACCTAAGCTTTGTGCAAATGCATCATGGAATTCTACAGCGATAACGTTTGCTACTAGTGCGACTGTTGGTACACAACCCGTTGGTATTTTTGTCAGTTCAAATAATACTGTGTATGTCGCTGATCAGACAAATAATCGGATACAAGTATGGCTTAACGGCAATACGACACCGTCAAGAACTATCTCCGGTAGTTTAATCAAACCTACTAACCTTTTCGTCACAGACAATGGCGATATTTATGTCGAAAATGCCTATTCAAATATGCGAGTAGATAAATGGGGAACAAATTCAAATAGTAGTGTTCCGGCGATGTATGTTTGTTTACAATGCAGTGGTGTTTTCGTCGATATCAATAATATGCTCTACTGTTCAATGTATTCTTCTCATAAAATTGTCTCGCAATCATTGGATAAAAGTTTAAATATATGGGCCATTGTCGCCGGAACAGGTACTGCTGGAGCAACATCGCTTACACTTACTAATCCTCGCTCGATCTTTGTTGATACAAATCTAAACTTATATGTGGCTGATGGTGGCAATAATAGGATTCAAAAATTTTTATCAGGACAATTAAATGGAACAACAATATCAACAGGAACCATCACATTGTATCAACCAACTGCAGTTGTTCTTGATGCTGATGGATATCTTTTTATTACTGATTGTAATAA